TTCAATGTACTGTATAAATAAAGCGGGGGGACTAAAGTACGTGTGATGGATGTGACTCGTTTTTGGTGGTAAACAGGTAAATGTGTGTGTTGAGTGCATATAGCATACCCATATAAATCTACGAAGATCAATAATCCATGGGCGTATACCACAAACAATGTACCCATTATGCAACCATTATTTCCTGTCTCTTTTTGCTCTTAGTTGGTAGGAGACATCAATTATTAGACTTTTAATATTTCCAACCTTTATATATATATATATATATATTAACAATCTTATGCACCCCTGCACGCACCTGTCTATGTGTGGACGAGAGTATGAGAGCGAACCTACCCAATGGTGAAAAACTGAAAACTACTCCTTTTAAACGTCTTTTATCAAGTCGAAGAAAATAAATTAAACTACTAAGTGTTTTATCTCGGGATGGAAAGGAAGTCGGGTTTATAATTTAAAATGGGTACGAAAAAAAAAAAAAAACTATAGACAAAATGTAGAAAAACACAATATTTATTTACATGTTAACGAGTGAGTATTCTCCTGATTCTTGTGGTCCAATCTTATATTCACACATCATTTTTAGTTATTAATTAAAAGAGTTCAAAAGAAATAAAAGATATGGATCAATTTTTTTTATTTATTACTTTTTTAATTTTTGTAATTAAATAATATGTGTATTTTTGTGACTGGACTACATCAACTGTCAATTGAACTAACTTAACTACTGTTCATGTGCAAATACATCTTTCAAAAAAACTTCCAATATTATTTAAATTTAACCACATTTTATAAATTTGAAGACAGAAATAACTTAAATGTCTTTAAGACAAAATAAATATCAAGAAAAAATTTGTATATATTTTCAAATGTCAATAATTTATATTTTATATGGATATACTAAAATTCATGGTTTTTTTATTCTTTTATTTTTTTTCTATGTCTTTTATATAACTCATTAAAAATTATAATTTTGAATAAATTGAAGATATCTTTTTATAAATAAATAAAAAACGTAACTCACAAATATTTAGTAGTCTCAAAGTTTGTTACTTATATTTAAAATCTAAAAATTGTTGAATTGAAAACACTAAAATGGGTAACCCAACACTATTGTGAATTTTTGACACGCAAAAAATTATTCCAAAAGAACTACAAAACAGATCATGTTTAATCTTGCATCGTCATTCTTCTTTTATTTTATATAAATCAAAAAAAAAAAAAAAAAAAAAAACGCAATGATACAAATGGTTACAACATTCTAATCAACTAAGAATTGTGACTTGTTCTATGTTTAGGAAATACCAAACAAAAAAAAAAACATGTGACTCATTCAATCTTTTGAAACTTATGCGAGCCCTACAATAATATATCTAAAAGTTTTCAATCAGTCGGCACTTAAGACGGAGGTATTATCTGACAAAAAATATAATTTTCAAATAAAAATAGAATGAAAATGGAATACCGGCCAACCAACGATAAATTATAATATGAAAATGTGAAATGTGAAATGTGAAATGTGTGTGTGATGCATGTGGGCCACCACCATAACGATGATTATAATAGGGTACTCATGTTATAAAAACTGTATTTTTATCTCCTATTAGGTAAATAGGTAAAGTGCAAGAAAAATTCCCTCAACTTACCAAAAGTGAAAAATACCAATGAATTATTTAAAGTTGTAAATCAAACCCTCATCTATACCAACATTGCAAAAAGGACCCTCTCGATCACCAGACCACATTTTTCGAGGTATGTTTATTCACGCGACAATATATTTTCAAGTAATACCAAAATTACCCTTTTGAATGACTATTATACCCCCAACAAAAGTGCAAAAAACCCCTAAACTATCTCGGGTTGCAAATTAAATTATGAACTATACAACTTATTTTTGTTATTATTTTAAATTATTATTATTACCACCACCACTATTATTATTATTTTTATTATTTAAACTATTTTTTTGATAATTTATGAGCTTTCATAAACTATTTGTAGGTATATAGATCCATCAAGCAACTAATCAACCAATTTTTTTTATTATTTTAAATAATAATAATAATATTATTATTATTATTATTATTGTTACTATTACTACTACTATTACAATTATTATTATTAGTTATTATTTATTTATTTATTGATAATTTATGAGCTTATAAAAATTATTTATAGATATATGGATCCATCAAGCAACTAATCAAGCAATTTTTTTTAATATTTAAATTTATTATTATTATTACTATTCTTATTATTAATTTGCTTGGGCTAAAAGTGATTTACATATTTTGCAACTAAGCCATTTATTTTTGTTATTTAACTATTATTATTATTATTATTATTAATACTAACTACTACCACTACCACTACTACTATTATTATTATTATTGTTGTTGTTTATTTTTATTTAAAAAAATTGTAAAAAAACTCTCTGAATTATTGGTTGATTGTAAGATGGTCCTGAAAGGTATTATGAGTATTATACATTTATGATATTTTATAATTTTTATATAAATTAATAAGTGGGGGTATTATGGTAATTTTGACCCTCTGGGCGCCAAAAATGGGGTCTGATAATCAGGATTGTCCTTTTTGCAATATTGGTATAAATGAGGGTTCCATTTGTAATCCTAAATAATTCAAGGGCTATTTTTCACATTTGGTGATATTTCAATTTTTTTTTTTAACACTTTGGCCTCTTTTTATGCTTTCTATACTTTTTTGTATTTGACGTAAAAAGGCACAATAAGTCTGGACCTACATGGACCCCAATAATTGACACACAAACACAACCTTCTTCCTCATCATAATTGCTCCAAATGTCATGGGGCCGCCCTTTTCTTTGTCTGGTGAGCCTCACAGCTATGGGACTTCCTCTCCATATCTTATACGTAGTAATTATATTCCTTATGAGCAAACTGAATTCCTAATGGGCCAATGGTTCGGCTTTTCGAAATTCAGTTTGCAAGTAATTTTATAATCTTCTTTTTACATTTAAATTTGTGATCTTTTTCTAAGTTTTATTTATTTATGTTTTTTTTTCTTTTTCTTTTTGATAAAAACCTATTAAAAACTGAAAAATGAAAAAAGACCAACAAGAGAATTTAACTAATAGAATGGAAGAGAGAGGAAAAACTTCAAAAATCATATCATCTGAACTGGAAAAAGGAGTGAATTTTTTTTTTTTTTTTTTTTAATAAAATTTGAAATTTCTGGATTAAGAAAAAAGTCAAAAGATGAGAAATTAGATTTTTTTTTTTTTTTTTTTTTCCATTTTTTTGATAATTTGGAGGTACTTAATGCATCGGACTGAGTACTTATTATCGATTCAAAAACTTAAATTATTAAGTGGTACCGTAAGAATCCTCTAACGCTTAGCATCTTTGATTATTGAATGAATCCTCTCAATTTAGGTGTCTACAATATTTTATATTTCCCTGATAATCAAATATTTTCTTTTAATTTTTAGGCAGATTCCTTTCACTCTTCCGTAAGTCTCCAATAAAAATATATACAAACAATTTTCCATGTTAATTTCAACTCTCAAGGGTCTTATTTCCAAATATTGAAATCTATCTGAATTTAAGACTCAATGATTGATTGCAAAAAACTTATTGCAAACGAAGAAAAAATATCTTCAAATTTATTTGTATTTAATTCTAAGTGTATTAATACACATCTTGAGATTCTTGACCTAATGATATATAATTTGAAGCTAATAATTGCCAAGGTATGTTCTTTTGTAAGTCGGGATATTAGAATGAAGGAAATTTAGATATATATTTTTTATTTTAAGTGTGAGTTGCCTTTTATTAGCTTTCCTCGTATTTGTATTTTTTTTTTAACAACTTTGAAACCTATTAAATAGAATGATAAGAAAATGAAATAATCTTTTTTTCTTTTACCAAGTAAATATGAAAAACAAGAAATATGATAGAGAAACAGAAAAGGATTGTAATAAATTGAAAAGCTGGTTATAATAATAAGTGACAAATGAAGTGTTTCTTGTTTTGAAGAACAAGCATGAATGTTAATATTTTGCACTCTATTTATGACTGGCAGAAACGATAAGTTGTTTCCAAACCGTGGATTAGAATCTTTTGATTTCCCCCCTAGTGTTTGGAAAGTGTGATAAAATTATACAATCAGGAAGTCCAAGTTCCAAAAAAAAAAAAAAAAAAAAAGAACCCTGGAATATTCACCTCCCCCACTGAATCTGCAGTATCATCGTATCTGACTTCAGCCCCACTCACCACCGTAGATGTCACACTCCAGAGTCCTATGTTCAAAAAGGCTGTCTTATCACCATTCTTCAGTCACCATGTATTAAACATACTGTGTGTGTATATATATATAATAAGACCTGATTATTTGTCGGTGAGTAGGTCATTCTTAAATAATTGATGTGGTTATAAATTATTTATAATTACAAAATTACAAACAAGAAAACAGGAGAGAGGGTGATTGAATTTATTCTAAAAATATATTATTATCCTTATTTATTTTTTTTTAATTTTATAATTATAAATTATTTGTATATTTGTAATTGGACCACATTAGTGGATAAGATGAACTATTCACACACACACATATATATATATATTATTTAAAAGAACAATACTTAGGTCTCACTAGTGATGATTTATAATATACTCACCGTTTATGTGGACTGATAATAAATGGCTAAGTCTTATTTTAATTATCAAATTATAGATGATAATCAAATCGTTATATATGATTTGGTAAGTGAATATCTACTAACCATCATCTTTGATTTAGTAATTAAAGATGACATGTTAATTTATTATTAGTTCATACTTAGTTATGAGTACGTCGTAAATCATTATTATTCTTATTTGAAAATTGAAAGAAAAATATAAAGAAAATTATTATTATAATGCAGACGGAAGTGATTGGTGACGTGGAGTTGTCGTGATGAGTGGGTTCAATAAACGGCCCAAATTCAGTTTCAGCCCCCTCCCATTCTATTTATCTTCACTTCCACCATCCATTTCCACTTCCCCCAAACACGCATAAGCACACTCTCTCCATTTCCTCTTTGGTTGGAAGAGGATATGCTGCTAAGGAGAACATCTAGTGTGTCGGGTATGAACGTGGAAGGGTTACTACCGTGCGATTCGCAGAAGAATCCGGTGATGAAGGATCAGGATACGTTGGCGGTCCCACAAGGCCCTGCCGAACAGGGGCCGAGTTGGTACGATCACCGTCCGATGGCGACGGTTTCACCCAGGTACCATGGAAGGACTAGTGCAGGCGATCATACCCATACAGAGACTAGTACCACTACTACGGCTCATTTCTTGAGGACTTGTGGCCTCTGTAAGCGCCGTTTGGCTACGGGCCGTGATATCTATATGTACAGGTATCCCTTTCTCTCTCTGATCTATTCGTAATTCATGTAAATGTTTTAAAAATGTGATATTTAAAAGTGGCATATATGATTCTGAGTAGATAGAGTTGATAACAAAGATATGAGAAAATACTTTTCTGAATTGAGAGAGTGATGGTCAACTATCACATTAGCAGGAAATCTGAAGGATAAAATTGAGACAAGTAAATAGAGGTTGATGGTGATCAATAGAGTGTCTTATGATTTTATTGAACGTATCAGGAATGGACGGTGGTGATCCTCAACATCAATAATATAAAAACAATTTCCTCGTTAGCTAGTTCCATGGATTCTTGGTGTTGAACCAATTTTATCAACAAGTTCAGTGCCTCAACTCATTGCATCTCTGAAAATTTTCTTCTTTCTTCTTTAATGTTCACATGGGCAACTCCATTAGTAAGGAGATTTTTTTATACAACTTACTTAATTAATTATTTGTGATTGGTCGAGACCACTCGTCCTATAATTATAATTTTTGACTAGTATGACTTTTGGAGGCTCTGTGTTTTTTGAAAGGTATTCAAGGCTTCCTTTAAGCTGTTTATTCAAGTCACCAAAGTTGAGTTTAAATTTAAATGATGCAGGTAATTTGGACACAATTGTGTTCATCCATATACAAATTCTGTTTAAGAGTTTAAAGTGATTGGCAGATAAATTAATTATTAAATAATTTTTAAGACCAGAGAGAATCGAAGAACAACAATAAGTTTGGTTTTACCGATTGGCTCAACGGATCTATTCACCACCACTGGCTGTGGCTGTGAATTCTAGTGGTAAATATTATAAACGTGTGCGCATTTACTTGATTTTTATTCTTTTGTCAAGAGAAAAAAGAAGAGGAGGAATTTACCCAATGGTGGCCCCACACGTGACATAAATTGTCACCTTTGGGTTTCACAGTCATGGAAATTACAATCATCTTAACATTACTAAATAGTTCATCGTAAAACGTGTTAGCTAAACGTTTACCAAATGATACATCTAGTCAGGCTTTTGCTGAAGAGGATGCCCACTTTGTGCTTTTTATCATACCCTTACTTTTTATAAATTATTCTACATTGCAGTCATTATTATAATAAGTCATTCGAGACTATAGCATTGCTTTTATTATTTTTATTACACCTACTTGGTTTGGACCTTCTCTACTAATTTTTTTAAAAGTAAATTGAATGCGACATTCTCTAAATTAATAATGATTATTTTTGTATAATATTAAGATATTATTATTTGGGTTTGTTTGACAGGGGTGATACAGCATTTTGTAGTCTAGAGTGCAGAGAACAACAGATGAAGCTTGATGAGAGAAAAGAGAAGCGCCCAGGCTGAGTCAATCAGGGCCGTCCATCACCACCTATTTAATAACTTAATGGTCTTATGAGATCATTATTACTTAGTATAATATTATTATTGTGCATAAATGTATTATAAATGCAAGTGCGGTTATATCGTTTGCATGCAAATTAATGGCCCCAATTAAATTAAAGCTAGCTCTCAATATAAACTTTTCGTGTGTTTACTGTTTTTCAATTGCTTCCAACATATGTGGTGTAAAAGTTACATGGCCAACGCCATTTGGTTTTTGAATCCTATATATATATATATATATATATATATATAACCTTAAGCACATATGGTAAATATAAATATATATATTTACTTTTAAGATTTGATGAAGTGATGAACCAAGAGACTTGTCTAAGTCCTTGTCACGGGGCTAATTAGGTGATGACAACTTAGGTCTTATTATAAGCAAAGGCAAGTCTGGACACTCGGTTTATTAAAAGAATCCAGATTGATCATTCGGTTCCCATTGGGTCCAACCATCCCATGACTTGATACAATAATTATGATTATAATGTATGATATCTCACTCTCATATCTCCTAATATAAGATCATATCCGATGTGACAATATAATAATTTATTAGGTCATTTCTCTCCTTGTATTACTTTATAATATTAGACCATTTCTCTAGGTGCCATTATTGGAGGAACAACAGAGCTGTGAAGATTTTTTGATTATTTTTCATGAAACCCCCATAAAGAATTGACCCATCAGTCTCATCATCAGTTTGTTAGACAATTAATGTGGTTTGGAATGTGAGTGTTGCTTAATTATCAATTGCTTTCAACAGTTTCAAGCCTCATTGTTGGGGGAATGGGGTATATCAAACCTTTTTTTCCCTAAAAAATGAATTATTAACACAACTCTCTAACTGTTAGAAAACATAATTTAGATCCACTTGTACAAGTGGTATGTATGTGTGTATATATATATATAGATATCTTAGGGCAATCTTTAGATCATCTTCAACCTGTTGTTTCCCTAGGCTGAGAAATATTTGTAGTTTACTACCATTAGCAATCAATCAATAAACTGAGCCTATTGTTGAAACCTGGGATGGGCTTTCATTTTCATTAGCCTCTGTTTGTTCCCTAACAGGTCATATCTTTTGGGCCCTTTCTTCGGGTCTTAGCAGTATTACACCACTAAATTTTCACTATTGAGGACCAATCAAGTGACTTCAGGTCACATTTGACACCACTACCACTACTAATAAGTGCAAAGCAAGACCTAAAGTAGATATTGCTCTATTATACACAATTTTACAACTATTTTAGAATATTATATATATATATATATATATATGTTCCAGTAGAAAGGGGTGCTTGCTTGCTTGCTCTAAACTGAGCCAAAGCAAACAGATTACACATGCCATCGCCTCCTAAAAACAAAAAGAGAGAAGATAATAACACTGACTGATAACCAGTCTACCACACAAGTACTACATTTTCTAAACATTAACACTTGTCTTCATATTTAAAGAAAAGATGAGGGAAGATGGTCCTATGCAAGTTGTCATTCACCAATCTTCCATAAACCTCTTACTATATTTCTTCACTTGTACTCCAAAATCATATTGTTTTCAGGAGATAATCCAACACAAGCTCTCAGTATGTTCTCAAGCATTGCCCTCTGCTTTGACAGAGCATTCACCACCGGTGTGCCTGGTGGTACCTATTTTTCCAAAAAGCACAGCATCACATATCAATTGTTCAATCATATTGGATAAATACCATCACATTTAATTAAGAGCAACCTATGGCCTTGAGGCCTTCATCATTTTGAAAATCCCGACTCATGCAATGTCCTTCACTTTTCTTCTTGTATGCACACACACACATACAAGGAGGATTTTACTCGGCATTTGGAGCCAATTCGGTTTACCATGGACCACAAGTTTATGAGAATCAACTGAAGCACATTGATGAAAGCATAACAAATGTTCACATCTAACACTCAGGAATCCTAATTCCCCTAACCTATTTCCCATCCTCATGATATGATCAGTCCAAGTCTCAATCAAAAAATTCAACGGCTTATATGCTGTGATAAAAATTTCAAATTGAATATAACTTCCTTCATATAAACTTACAAGAGGGGCCTTGGTGAGGTAGCTGAGGATGGTAGCCACAGGGTGGAATGAGTGAAACTTGCCCTGCAAAGACATACAATAGATGTTGAAATTTCGAAACAGGGCATGACCATAAAGGATTGTCGTATTGAAAAATTTGAAAGGGTTTACGTCAAAGGTGACAAAACAAACCTCTCCTTCAGCTTTGAGCTGAATGCGAGTGCTGAGTTCAGCGAGAAGGACCAAGTCCAAGATAATTGGAGCTGCCAACAAGGAGTCCTCACATGTGTTATGCAACACTATTGTACTCTTGCCCCCCATGAATATCTCTGATATGTACTCATCCATGGCCCTCTTGCTGTCTCCAACGTACGGCACATACTACATACAGCAGGCGACCAGGCATAAGATGAGACCAAAAACAATATGCACACCACACACACACAAGTTGTGCTATTCACTATGGCTTAATGACGCTTTGTAACAAAAACAACCAAAGTAATATCCCTTTTCCACAAAGCCTATTAGTTGCATGGTTTAGTAGGTCTCTTTAGCATATTTTTTCAATACACATACATAAATGTAGATAGATATATATATACCTTGATTACAACGACGTGGTCAGGATGCTCGCCAGGCTCATAAAGGATACCATTGCTACACACCATGTCGTCCACGACATTGCTCTTGGAGATCTCCTTGGAGCGGAAGGTTTGAGGAGCAGAGAGATTCATGCCATCATTGTTTCCCAAATGGTTGTAGCTAACTATTGATGTTGGCTGTCATAACCAACAAATCCAACCCATGATGTACTACTAAAAGGTACTACCATATCTTCAAAAATGTTAACCATCATCAAAATTACATGTACAAGAAACTAGTACAACCTCAAAATGTCAAACATTAACCAAAATAAAAGGAAAATTAAGTAATTAAAATTCCCCCAAAAATGAACTGATATACCTTGATTCCAGCCCCAACAAGGAAATCAACTAGTACGGACTTCATCTTGGTCTGCCCACTCTTAAAGTCATCTCCACCAATCAAACTGTTCCTCTGTATAGCCAAGTCAATCATCCCTGAAATTAAATACCATGCCCAAAAGATAATTAATACTACAAAACCTTGAAAAGTAAAGTACAAGTAGGTCGCGTTTATATACTAAGTTATGAAGATAATTTTAGCCTAAACACCTGGAACAAAAGTGTTCTGTGGACTTCCATTGATGAAAGGAACGTTTTCCATAACACAAGCTATAGCATATAAAGTAGAAGGAGAAATCTCAGCTTCATTCTTTCCCACGGAAGCTAAGAGGTTCTCCATGGTGTCATTTAGGCCAACAACTACATTACTGTATCTTTCTGTGTTGGCAGTCCACAGCACCACCACCTTATCTACCTTGTTTGCCTTCTTAAACTCCCTATATTGACACATAAACACATTGGTCAAACACAAATTCAACAGTCTGAACTTTTTTTCTGGCGACAATGGCAACAAAACCCTTTATGTTAAATGATAAAATAAACGTGTATAATGATAATCACTACCTAATATCCTTTATGATTTGTTCAACTTGCTCTTTCTTGGTTCCTTTGATCACGTTGTTAGCACGAGAGCCTTGATTGGCAGCAATGAAATCAGGGTCGTAGATACCAGGGAGTGGGACCATGGATTCCATGTAAGGCCTCAATTGCTTCTGCAGATCAATGTCCAGGACCTTAGCCCTGGCCATTGCATCTGCCAAGTTCATGTCACTTATGTCCCAACCCCCAAACACAATGTCATCTGGGTTCACCTGATCATTTAAAATTGAAGTACAAGAAACTATTTAGAATAATCGTTTACCCAAAAAAATAGCTATTTTGCATGATAATCGATCTTGTATAAAATATACACACACATACACGTATATACAAATAATAATGTATGTATATACCATGGGGAGCAGGCTCTTGAAGGGGGCATAAATCTCCTCTCCACTGAAAGAGCCAACTCGGATTGTGGATGCCTGGGTCAGTGACCCGAAATAGTTGGCTTGTTGCACCTTGTCTTTGGTAGCCCATGAGATCCCTCTAACAAATTTCAACATCCAAATCTAAAATTCACAAACCTCACTAGAAACAAATTGTTTTATCTTTTGATAAATGGAAACAAATTATGGTCAAACAACTATTTAAAAATTTTAAAAACCAAGCACAGAATCTTACCAACCACATATTCAAAAATAAATTATATTTACAGTATAATATCAGATCACAAATGAAATTCACTCTACCAAATGGGTATTTGTCTGTGAAAAAGAAATTACTTACTCCCGATTTGCAATAACACCACCAGTGAGGGTTGAACCGTTGTTTCCTCCCCAACCCACAAGCATAACCCTAACAAAATCAACATATATATGTAAGATTACGTAAAATGTATGTAAATATATATACAGATATAGGAAGGATTTGTTGTGGGTAAAAAGTCTTAGACACAAACCCTAGTTTGGGGACATGGGTTTGGGTCTTGAACTCGTATTTGACAGTTTTGGGCTTGACAAGCCATTGATAGGTACCATTGCGGTTCTCATGAACAAGCTCTGTGGTTTCATAGTTGAACACAGAATGAATCTCAGTGTCTGTGTACTTAACATTTGGGCTCTCTACCTTAAAGCTCTGGATGAACATTTTTCCCACAACAAATGGAACAATCTTAACAAACCCTAGAGAGAGAAAATGAGAGTGAAACGATTAATAAGATGTAGAAACGTTTAGCTCTCTCTACCTCTCTCGGTGAATTCCTATAATGTGTGTATGGCCTCCCACATGGCAACCATGGGGTTGTATATATAGACGACTTGCTCGCAGTTGGGCTACACGTGGCATGAGTGGAAGATGGCCCCACATTTTACTGTTTTATATATATATATATATATATATTAGGGGATGAGGTGGTTGGTTATTTTAGTCTTAGAGAAGGTACTGGAAGTGTAACGGGTGAGGGTGACTCGTGAAATGAGCAAAATCAATGGCTATCGAGTGACTCTATTTTCGTGATCTGCATCCAAGGATCAATTAATTATATATGGAATATGGTACACTTTAGATAAACACTGTGCCAAACAATGCTTCATTTTGATTTTTTTTTTAGAATTGAGTTGTGGTCCAAAAGTCATTGATGGTATGATTTTATTATTATTTTTTTATAGGACCATTGATAGTATGAGTGAAGTTATCTATCATGATTTTATCATCTTAGAATTTCAAAAACATGATTCCATAAGAATTTTATAAGATATTAAAAAAATTAATTAAAAAAAAAAAAGAGAAGATTTTGATTCAATTGTACTAACAGCCCGTAACAGGCCTATAAAGTAAGGAGTAATATTTTTTTGCATTTAGGCGCAAATGAGCTCCACCCAATTGAATCAAAATAATATCCTGTCGTTTGAGATCAATATTTTTATGCAAATGAACATAATGAAGGGATCCACTGCATGGGGTCGTATTATACAAGCATATGACATTATTGATGTGAAACATAGACAAAAGTCTATCATGAACAATGATACAAATAGTATATATAATTATTGATCGTTTTAACAGAAGTCTTGATAATTCAATGAATTAAATTTTTTGGTGGATTTTAGAATACCAATTTCGACTCTCTGAATCTAATAATCTAACGATATATCTCACATTGTTATGTAATAAATATATTATATTCTTTACCAGAATAATAAATTTTTTTTCATGTATATGTTGCATTAAAAATGTACGAGTCATGAAGGATTCCCTCAATTGATAATTGACACTTTCACGTCGCTGTGTTTTGTTACAATTATATATATATTGCTTCACATGTCACAAAAACATTACCGTCACATGCATGGTTAATTTATTGTTTCACTAATTTTATAATTTTGACAAGGATACTTTCTAGAAAGAGTCTGTACACAACTATTTGTTTTAGACATATAGATGCTTAATTTCTAATTTTTAATTTCTTTTTAGAGCAACTTTGTCCAATTAAATAAAAAAGAATTAAGTAAATAAATATTTTAAAACAACTTTAAAAAAAAATAGGTGGAAGGAATGGTAATTTTACCGCAATTATTGATCACATGATATAAACAGAACCCTAACCATACTTTGGAGTGTGAAAACATGCATAGTGAACCCTGACAAATCAATTTCATGAAAATGACTTGTATCGGTCTATGATAACTAATGAGTCAGGACAATAGATTCCCTCTACAAATACAAAAAGGTACAGGATATATATAAAGACAAAAGGAAGCCATATAATTTGCTTCTACCATAATATACACGCTGTTAATTGATTTACGTGCCCAAAGATGAGCAGAGAAATTTATTATCAATTCGATCTTGTACTCTACGTGGAAAAACAAATTGACAAGAAGGTTCATGAACCATCACTTGAACCTACAGTATTATACATATATATATATATAATATACATTATTTGATATGAGAAGGGACGAAAGAAGAGATGGTTGTGAAGAAATAGTGACCACGAAATTGTTGTGTGGCCATCCTTCGTCTCAGGCCTTCACTAACCTGCATTCATGTCAGTCCCTGTGTGAACGTCCTATACCATTTTACACGTACTATTTCTTCATTCAACTTTTAGTTTGTGGAGCCTAATATCAGTTTCGTCTTTGTGTGGGTGTGGGACCAAAATTCACAAAAAGGGTTCCCAAAAGGAAAACCATAATCACATGAAATCTTACCCTGTTTTTATCCAAACAACAATGACCCTTTTTTATCCTTTTATCTTCTTGCCATTCATTTGTTTTGTTTGTTTGTTATTTCTTTTTTTTCTTTTTTTTTGTTAGAAATTTACCAAGACTTCTCTACGTAATAATAGTAGTATTGTATGGTCATGATGTGGGTGAAGGTCGGATGTATCCCAACATTTATATAGGTGGAGTATGATGTCATCACTAACAGAAATTTGTCTCAATTACTTATTATTTTCTTTTGTACAACTTACAAATGTGATGACCATCACATTTTTAAAAAACAAAATAATTGCTATAGCTTGAAAAATGCCATTTTAATAATATTAAAGGTGTGTTTGGCTGCATAGAATATTGGAATCTCGGTAGAATTTGAAAAAATTTTGGTTTAATTTTTTTTAATTATTTTTCTCAAATTTCACAAATTTCAATTCCACAACGGAACAAACCCTAAATATTAGTGCTTCTAAAAAATAATATAACATAAAAAATGCAAGGAATCAATCACTAATTTTCTTATTATTATTATTATTATTCATAAAATTTTCAATACTGCTAAAGTTGTAACCCCTTCACTGCTCACCACAATTATTGTTGTTGGGTCTCAGACCTTTAAAAACTCTAAGCCCATGGCAGTTTGTATTCATTTAAATTCTATATGATGATCGAAATCCAATATTAATTCCTAAATATGAAAATAGAGCTATTTTTTTCATAGATTCACTAATCACTAATAAATGGAATGGGCAATTTTTGCGTTTATTTAAAATGCCATAGAATAGGTAAAAGAAGGAAACAGAAGACCTGTTTGGTGCCCACTTCTGCGTACATAAACCAAGTTAAGATTTTCACACAATAATTTAGATTTTATTTTTTTTTGTAATTAAATCTCAGAGGGTAAAATATTATTTTCATTTTCTTTGTTGTTTGGCCTGATCCTATCCCTAAATGTACCTGGCTGTATTTGTCTAATTTGGTTATGGGTGGCATTTCATATTTAATTCAGGTGAGAGAGAGTAGGGTTCTAGTCCTCTCTCTCTCATGCAAGAATCCAAATGTGGGTTCTAGTCCTCTCTCTCTCTCTCTCACACACACACATTTGGATTCTTGCGCGCGCGTGTAGGGTTCTAGTCCTCTCTCTCTCTCTCTCTCTCTCTCTCACATTTGGATTCTTGCGTGTGCGTGGGTGGTTTTAAACTTTCTAGTCCCCTCTCTCTCACTTGGATTATTTCATATACAGTATGTAATATGTGTGTGTGGACCACCGATGGGTTTGACACCAATTATAAAAACAAGGCAGATATAATGTTTAAATCTCACCGAGGCAGAATTATATTGGTTTAGCCCAATTCTAGACCAGTCTCTTATTGACACAGGCGTTGATAAGCAATCATAATTGTCACATTCTCATGCCAAAGTAAATTTTTTGTTTTAATTTAACTATAATAATTATGCACATCCAAACCTATATCAATCAATCATTCGGGTGGTGAAGACATTTCAAAGCAAAAAAACAATAATAAATGGGCCACATCTTGGCCCAGTGGGCTTGTCAAATATTTAGGGCCTCTGAGTGATGGGTTTTCAATTCCATGGTCAATGTATGGACTCTCTTTTTTGGTGAATCCGGCCCAACCCAACAGGATACAATAGGGCCCATCCAGTGTAGATTTTGTTTTGTTCATTCAAACAAACACAGGCCCTCAACACAATTAACAAGTCTCTTTCTGATTTTTGTTATCCTATTTCCTCTATATTTTTCTGTATTTTCTCATTTAATAATTAAATGTCTGTTCCACAATATTTATTTAATTTTTGAAGGCAAAAACCATAATCCTGGTGGCACTGGGTTGCAACCTGACCATTCGTTCCCTCCAAACACCTATACAATAAGAGATACATGTCTTGAAGATAACAAGCATATTCTTAACCATATATGCTTTATACATGTGGCTAAGAGATAAACAAAGATTGGGAGCTACATTTTATTAATTAGTTGGCATGTACAAGACATGTACATTAGTCCTATACAAATATGAATAATCCTATACAAATTAATGACTAGAAAAGAATAAATCAATAATCAGTTGAAGTGTGTGTGTGTGTGTGTATATATATATATATACAAGTTAGTTCCATGATATATATATATATATACACACGTCTCCTTCAAGGGATAATTTATGTACCCAAGGACGTCCACTGTATTTCCATTGTGTTTCTGGAAAACTTCAATGAACCATTTGACAATCAGCCTTCTTCACATTTTTCTGTTGCCCAATGGAGGCAACAAGATTAATAAGAATTAATGGATCTCCATCTGTATTATTTGACATAGATGTCTTCATACTGTCTCTCTTTTTTCTTCTCAGTTTACCAGAACTTGAGCCATCTTACTTTAATTTCTCTCAGGATCTTCAGATGCTCATTCTTAAGCTCACTCGATCATCGGAACAGTGAATGAGAATGCTTTAGTAAATTATTGAGAGGCTTGTTTTGGGCTCTACACAATAGATTTGTCACTCTTTCTGTCATCTGCGGTTTAATTTTACAAGGCCATATATCGTTAGTGATTGATTATATATACATTAATATTAACCATATATACATAATAATAGTATGAATTACGTTTATACTACTTTAGAAGAGAATTAAGATGGGATCGATCATAAAACCTTTCCCAAAGATCCTGTGGCATAGGGAACAGCTCTCTGATAGTACCCAAGTGAAATTGGTGGAGATTTTCGACTCGTTTCTTCTCTGCTGCTGCTGCTGCTGCATGTAATTGATTTCCCATAGCTTCTGCTTCTCGTTGTAATGGTAGTAGTAGCAGAGTTGAGCCACTTATTATTTGGAACACTTGGGAGAGTTGAATCCTAATATAGTAAGACATGACAATACCCAGGTTAAAATCATATATACCTATTATATACACACAATCACACATACACATTGCTGCAGACTTGCAGTACGTAGAAAGAGAAGGGATGTTTATATATATATATGATTACCATTATAGTACTTCTGCTTCTTGTTGTAACTGTAGGAGAGCTATGCCACTTGCCATTCAACACACTTGGGAGGCTTGATTCCTAATAACAACAAATTAAACAGGGAAAATTATTGTTCGTGTTATATCTTCTTGTTGCATAATTAGGAAAAGATCATAATTAAGTGAAATTAATTTGTAAACATCCATGGATTTATACCAGAAAAAGTACGGTTGCACAATGCTTGACCACTTCCAAATTCATGCGAACATCGTCAAGGCTCCTGTTAATTAATTAGAAATTAGATCGAGTTTTTCATGATTTTAGCTAAGAGTCTATCTAAAATTTTCGTACCTGTGCTTTTGCTGCCCTAGCCCAAAATAAGCTGCCAATGTTGCCATCTGGTAGGGATAGGTACGCGTTTAAAATATGTCAGAATTGCGATAATTGTATCATGTGAAAAATGGAAGATCAATTAATTAAAATGATCCAAGAAATGTGAGTTCTATAGAAAGTGAAAACAAAGACAGATATGGTTTTATTAAAAACAAATGCATAGAAAATTTAGGGATACTTGAAAGGCTATATATGTTTACCTTAGAACATGAACTTGTTCATAATTTAGTTATATATATAAACATTTCAGCAATATATATGGTTTGACAAGAAGCACAAAAGAACACATTCAAACTTGACAAGCTCACCTTCATATTTCCAGCTCTTCTGCCAAACTTGTCAGTCAAAACGCCCAACGAATCAATCATTCCAACAGGCACAGGTGCAGGCCTCCCCAAATCCGCGAAGGCCTCCTTAATACGAACACAATCAAATCTCTGGATGTTATGACCCGCCCACACTCTACCATTCAGCATGCTGAATATCTTGTCCGCCACTGCCTCAAAAGAAGGCGCATTCCTGACCGCTTCGCGAGTTATCCCATCACACCGCCCTGACTTGATTGCCACCACCGACAAGTCCCCTGGTCTTATCAACGTACAATAGCTCTCCAACTCCACCAGTTTCCGTGGACAAACCACAATTGCACCAAACTCCAGCACCCAAAACCGTTGTCCGGCTTTATTGGGCACCGTCGTTTCCAAGTCGAAGAACACAATCTCAATCTCTGTTGTGCCTTCATTGCTTGGATGATCATCAATAATAGTAGGAACAGCCATTTCTATAGTAATCAAAATCAATTTGTTGTTTGAGGTACTTACTTGTTGTATGTGATAATGATGATGATCGATGATTTTGGTGTTATATATAAATGGTGATGGAAGGAATGAATGAGAGAGATGCATGCATGGGTTGGAAGAAGAATATTCTTGAGCACAGTAATTTAATTTTGATTTTCTTGTAGTTCAAGTTAAAAACTAGTTTAGGGGTTTGGACAAAGGTGTCCTTAGCTTCTTGAGAATGTCTTGTGCATGTAAAGCAAATACAGTTAAGACAGGAATCTTATGACAAACAAACAATCACAAGATTTCGATCAATTTCCTCTTTATCCATTTCATTCTGTGTGTCTCAAGTCAACTATATATATATATATATATATATGTGTTCATTTGCTTTTGATATATATATGTGTGTGTGTGTGTGTGTGTGAAACTGTTTGAAGAGGTTTCAACTTTCTTCACCCAATCAATGAAGCGAAGCAAAGCAAAGTCATGCAAGCGAAGTGCAAGCGAAGTTGGTTTTTTTAATCTTTTCACAAAACTGTACGGCAAGTTTACATGTTACGTGGCATTTGCACCGCCTTCTTGCAATAGCCATAAGTTTTCAACTTTGACATGTTCAATGCTAAACACCAAATTACAACTTATATAAAAGATGCAATAAAAAATAAATAAATAAATTCATGATACAGTTGAAATATTATCCTTTGAAGATTAAAAACAAATATATATATTTGATTTGCTGTACGGCAAATTCATATATATATATATATGACTAAAATTGTGATTTCATTAAATCCAAAAAAATAATAATAATAAAAATAACTAAACACAAATAATTTATTGAATTGAACAAATATATTCTTTTGCCTTTATATTTATCATCTCTCTTTTTTTACCTCTGCGAAAAATAAAACACAAACACTCACTTAATTACCCAAAAAAAAAACCACACACACACACACACAAACATTCACCTTGCCTCTAAGTGATGCCAAGAATTGGATGCCAAAGATGGCTTTCAGTCGTTCAGATCTTACTGTTGTTTTCTATGTAGATTTGCTGATTTTTTGGGCCTATGGGCCTTGTTATTTTGTTTCTCTTCTATTGGGCCAATGGGCCTTGGTTTTTCAGCCCAAAGCTGAAGCTTAATGTAATTTACCTTAATAATAGTATATAATTTGCTTGACTTTCAGATTATAAACCCTGATCTTTTTCATATTTATCACTGCAATCCACATGATGAAGAGTGAAGACAACAATTTCCATTATTCAAATTTTTCTACTTTGATTGTCCTTGATCTCGTTTATTTATTATGTTTTATATACTAAAGAATTATATAAATTATTTTTTTATAAAATATTTTGCAAGAACTGATTGTCAAGGCTAAGCGCTTGCACAAGGGCGGCTCAATATAATTTGAGGCCTTAGGTGAAAAAAATAAAAAATTATTTAATAGAATAAAAGTTTAAAATCATTCAAAATCTTGTGACGGAGTGAGGTTGTAAATTGTAGGAGTGGAGAAGATGAAAATAAAAAAAAATTAAAAAATTATAATGAGAGGAGAAAAATATGTGAGGAAAAAAAAATAAAAAATAAAAAATAAAAGAGAAGAAGTTAATAGGTCTCTTGCAAAAATATAGAAAGTTTTACAAGTCTCACCACAATGGATAGTATTTATGGTTGGTGTAATGATAATAAGGAGTAATATATGTATATATGTGTGCATACGCTCATGTAATAAGGATGAGAGTGAAAAAAAAAAAAAAAAAAAAAAAAAAAAAAAAAAAAGTAATAGAAATATAGAAATATTTTGGGCCTAATATTAAATCTCTCTATTGATTGAGGTTAATAAATTATTTAGGTACCTTACAAAAAATAAGTAAAAAATTTGGGGGCACCCAAAACACAAAAAAAAAAAAAAGAAGAAAAAGGTGATAAATCTTTTAGATCACTGTTAAATTCCTCTATTTCTTGTTGTTTAATAATTAAAATAATTATTTTAAAAAAATTATAATATATAAAGAAATGAAAAGTTATGAAGCCTTTTTTATTAATTAGGGGCCTTAGGCGACCGCCTAACTTGCCTAAGACTCCAACCTTCCCTGGACCTGTGCTTGCAACCGAGCTACAAGTTTAAATTAGATAGTGTTAACACCCGTTTTTATATGCCCAAGGCCCTTCCCGTTCAAATGCAACACAAGACAATAACGCATTCGAATCATGTTATTCGGTTCTACCTGAGAACCAACAATATTAAATTATGCACACACATATACTTATTACTCACACCCGAGTTCAAATCCCTCCCTCCTCTCCTTTTGAGAATGAATATGTCATATACATTGAATTGAAGACCCTTTCAATCGGTTCAAGTGCATGATTTTGCTATGAAGGAAATGAGAGCATGCGGTTATGCATTATAATTAAGCACAAAATCAGTGGACGATTCGTTAGTCCCTTTCTCCATAGATTAAACACAAAGAAGAGCAGTACAGTAAGTATGAATTTGTTGCATATGTTCTCTTATTCGAGTTGAGTTTGAAGGCTCTTGAACTGGAAATAGATTTGAAAAAACATCACTCCAAGCTCTAAAAGTCAGGAAGGAAAAAAAAGGCAAGAAGTTACCATGACTTTGCATGATAAAGGAGAGAAGATAGCCAACAAAAGGCTAACACCATTCAACCTTTACATCAAAGGCTTTCAATTCTTTCGTCATCTTTTGAGGTTTCTACACAGCTTCAATAGAGTAAAAAATATTTACATTCTTGAGTAGGATATGGAGAACATAAAACCCTAAGTGAGATATGGTCAGTTGACCCAAAAGGGGCCATAATAATACTCGTGATCTCTCCCAAAGAATCCTCCGTAGGTAGCTTCTACTTTCATTTCTTGGCCTCTCATGGTACAAGAGCTCTTCTAATTATTTGTTGTTGGCCTTCTCTAAGGTTGTGAGAGTTCTTACTGTTTGAGAGTGTTTGGAGAATAACAGGCTAGCCCAGTACACGAGGCTCCCATCAATGTAGGGTCTGATGTACACAGCATTACCCCTGCATGCTGAGAAATTTGTTTATGTGATGAACCAGTGACAACTAACTCACAATTAAGCAACCTTACTGTTGCACCAAGGCTGACCCTCAATAATATAAATTATACAACTACTCTTGCATAATAATTCAAATTATAATAATAGTTTCAACTTTATAAATGCATCTTAAAAACTAATCCAACTTCATTAGTAGAACAAAAAATACAGCTAAAATTATATCAGCATTAAAAAATAATAATAAATCAAATCGAGGGACCTTCTGTTCCAAACTACAAATATCTACTTATTTATTTTTCTAGTAAATCAGAACTCCCTGCACACTAAATCCTTTCAAATATATAAAATAAAACACAGAAATAAGGTGCATGAGCATGAGCATGAGGTGCCTATCAGCAAGAAAGAGATGACAATGACATGAATAGGATCCTTAGGAAAGAGCCACAATGGGTAAAGTCCATATCCACCAAATGCAACTCTCATGAACAGGACACAAATAACAATAACGATGATGATAATAATAATAATATAATAAAAACCTTTTGGGATGGCAGGCTAAGAGAAATGCTAATGCAGATATATACATACATATTACATATACATAATTAATCTATAATGAAGCATAATCAACATTTGCCAGAGGTGTTCTTGTGGAAATAGCATCCACATACAAACATGGTAAAACCCATTTCATTTTGAACTAATCTAAACCGATAAAATATACAGAATCCAGGTGGTCTCTGTTCTGCAATTGCATATATTCCAGACAGCATGAAAAAATTAGGAATCAATCCCCAGAAACATATATATGTTTTTAAAATAAGTAATCAACCCCGGAAACATAATCACGGGGAAGAAGGTAGATTCATCATTTTACAGAAACAAAAACGACTCACACAGAGAGCATGAGTCAAGACTCAAATTTTGTTGGTGGGTAACTACAGCGGTAACAGCCCAAAGGGTACTCCATTGCCATGAAAAATACCTTATTCCTACAAGGATAAACAAACATTAAAATGCATCATGATCTCGTGCCTTCAACAGTTGGATTGAGAGACTATGAGAGGTGAGTCATTGGTCCAACAATTAAGGCTACAAATTCACAATGAGAGTGCTCTTATCGCATACTCTCATGTGCCCTTCGTGATTTCCATTAACCACTTCCCGGTCTTTTCTTTTTTTAACACCTCATTATCCGACTCTTTCAAACCAGCTGCCAAATTCAACCAAATAATTTCTAGCAAGGCTAGTTCACCTAAATAATGTCTAGCTGCCGAACCCTAGGGAAAACAAACTTAAAACATTTGAGAGCATCAGGAAAGAGTTCTTTAAAAAAAACTTATTTACACAACAGACTTGTATTGATAAATCAAGCTAATACCTAGTTGAATTACCAAAACGTAAATAAAGCTGCTACCTGAGGCTATGATACTTTCACATCCTTTAATTATCAGAAGCATTAAACTAAATAATCTTCTTGTTCCCAAAATGCTTTGACCATAATAAAAATTGCAATTCAGCCTGCATAGCCCAGTCATAAAGCAATAACTACAGCTTTGTTAGCAATGGTTACCGGAGTAAAGCGGAACAACAATGCAGAAACCAGACTGAACTTGTTCGGTATAGGAAAAAGAAAAGGGTTTAGAATACCATTTAAATATTCAAAATTTTCATCACAAAGTATTCGATCCGGATGGAGATCAAATGAACACAACCATCCCCCAATAGCTTTTCAAGAGATTTTTGCTAAAGTTGATCAGTCAATGAAGCAAGTATTTTTTACCTGTTGGGGTTGTCACCAAAAATCCTATTTTTCTGTTGTTGCAGCTTAAAACTCAAATCTCACTAAAACAAAATTTTGCGCCAATTAAAAAAGTGTCAAATCTATCGATATGCCCAATATTTTGCTCATGAGAATCATTTTTCTTCTTTTTTATGCATCAACCTAAATAACTCCCAATTATCAGATGATCTTTCAGTATATATATTGCATATAGAACTCTTCTCGCTTGGTAGTCAGTGTCCCACTTGCAAGGAATTTGCCTCATCAGCGACCAGCATCACAATATCAATTTGAATACAAGTCCCATGTTTATGTCCAAACCATTAGGCATATTTGTTGAACTATTCAAGTGAGGGCATTCCATTATGATTGGTTGATATTTAAAAGCCAAAAGAGACTAACCATCAAATGTTCAAGCAATGTGCTTAACATACTTGATATATCAGCTGAGGTTACATTGATGGATGAGCACAGAGAGCACTAATCAGATAAATGAAATTGCATTATATACAAAATTGAGATCACATCGCAGTTCACATGTAAGAGAAACCACTTAATGCAAAAGGCCATAACCTTGATCTATAATCAGTCATGAGCTTCTGAGGATACCAAAAATGACCCGGGCCAAGTACGATCCAGATTGCTAATAGCGGGTCGGGCAAGAGCAACCGCTCAGGACCAAGTCTTCACTAATCAAGCCCAGGACCGGGAAATCATATTGGAAGCCCGATTTCAAATAAAAGGAATTGAGCCCATAACCAAGAACAACCCAGTGTAAGGAGTTAGTTAGGAAGCTTCTAGAAGATCTGTAACAATCTATAAATAGATTGAAAATAAAGGGAAAAGGAGTTGGAAAATCTTTGAAGTGTAGAATTACTCTTTCCGAATTGAGAAGGAAAATTTCTTGCATCTTCAATGGCGTCGTCTGTGGGAACCGATCAAGATTGATTCGCGTTCGATCAAGGCTGATTCATGAAGAAGAAGCTTAATCTCTCGAAACTAGATTCAGGTCGGCGAGATTATGCTCTGTCTTGCACAGACCTGGTTCTAGTTGATCTTTGGAGATTGGAATCAGATCTGAGAAATCTCGATCTATTTACTGAGATCAGATTTGACGAGTTCACGGCAAGTATAGAATCAACAGATTGTAGATCAGATCCGGTGGAAAGAAATTGGAATTTAGCTAGTTTGAGGCCAGATCTAGTGCATTCACATTAGCAGCGGTCAGATCCGATCAAGAATTCACGGTTGATGACTCTACTTCGATCGGGAACGATGATAGGAGGTGAGAGTTCTAATCCACCGGAGAATGGCCAGCAGACGAAGCTTGACGAGTTGATGAGTATGATCAAGGCTCTGAGAAGAGAGAATGCATAATTGCGAGCTGGAATGGAACTTCGAGAAGCCCCGGCGATTCCACGACCACCTCCAGTAGGGGAAAGAGTTATGCAACCCGGTGTGGCTCACCAAGGTGAGCAGGAAGGTAACTATCGCGTGGATCCTCACCGCGAGGAGATCAGACCAGGTGATTTGCCACCAAATGCTCATCACGTGGAAGATCGAGAAGGATCTATCCATCTGGATCTGCATCGTAAGCGAATCGGGCGGGAGGAAGCCGTGGCATTCGATCCATATCAAGAAAGGCTGAGGCAAGAAGAAGCCATGGAGTACGGTCGCAACAAGGCTACACCGTCGTGGCAAAGGGAGTTAACAGAGGAACACTCTTACGATCCTCCTTATCGACCATCAATGGCCACATACGAAGATAGAGGTCTGGACAGGGGGTCTGTTGAACAGAAGTCATTTTCAAAGTATCCAAAGGAGAATGAAGCCCTCCGTTCGTCAGCAAGAACGGTTGCTTCTCCATTTACTGACGCAATCCTGAACGCTCCAACTCCGATGAAGTTTTCCATGCTAGTTTTCATTCTGTTTGATGGAACGAGTGACCCGATCGATCACATTTACCACATTCAGTTGAAGATGGCTCTGAACACCGAGAATGATCGTTTGATGTGCAAGTGCTTTCTTACAAGTTTGACCAGACTAGCGCTCAATTGGTTTAAGAATTTGGCCAAAGGCTCAATCGCTAGCTTCCAAGACTTGTGTGACAAGTTTATAAGCCAGTATTATATGAACAAGCGCTCGGCCAAAGATGTCTCAAGTTTGTTTACAATGAAGCAGCACGAAGAGGAGCGACTCCAAGCTTTCCTCACCAGGTTCAACCTCGTCAAGAGCATGGTAATGGAATGTCATCCATCCACGGCGGTTCAAGCATTCATGCTTGCAATGAACCGAGGGACACCGTTCCACACAAGTCTGGTGGTAAATACGCCGAAGACCATAGACGAGAGAGCTGACGGTTTCGTGCGTTTGGAAGAAGAAGAGGCAGCTAACGCAAGGAAGACGTCGATTATCTCAACAAAGAAGAAGTCCAAAACCAAGATCCGGCAAAAACAAGCTCTGCCATAGCATCAGACCTCCTTGAAGGCAGAGAAGAGGCCTAGAGAAGAGGAGTTGGTCACTCCACTTAAAGTCACTCTCGCAAGGCTATATCAAGAGAACAAAGATAAGTTTCGCCCTCCCCTACCAATTAGACAACCTCTCAAATAGAGAGATCAATCTAAACATTGTGCTTTCTATAGTGATTTTGGTCATCAGACTAACGAATGCAGGAACTTAAGGAGGCAAGTGGAGATGCTGATAGTAAGGGGAGAGTTTGCAGGATATATTCAAGGGCCGGCGGTGGAGCAAAACCGACAGGTAGAACAAGTGAAGAGGAATCAAAAGCCAAGCTAGCATAACGCACAGCCTGTTCGGATAATAAATGCAATTCACGACCGACCTAAGCCGACCGAGGAGTCAGAAGAACTACTCCGAACGCGCCTCCGCCAAGCGTAGATGAAGAGAAGGGTAGGCACCGTAAACGCTCTGCACCAGCAGAGCACATCGGTTCAGATAAAATTCGCCAGAACAGATCTGCTGCGTATACAGGTCCCACATGAAGATCCTCTAGTAGTCAGTTTAACAATGGCAGAGTGCTTGGTGCGGAGAGTTCTGATTGATCCAGGGAGTAGTGCGAATGTCATGCCGCGAATAACGTTTGACCGGCTCGAAATCAAGCCAGAAAACTCAAACCCACTGGAAATTCATTGCTGGGGTTCGATAGGAAACAGGTTGAGCCCATTGGTATGGTAGAATTGCCAGTACAAGCTGCTGAAAAAACTCTGACAGAGAGCTTTGTGGTTGTTGAGATCCATCCGTCTTACAATCTCTTGATGAGAAGAAGATGGATCCACAAGGTCCAGGGAGTCCCATCAACTCTACACCAAGTGATGAGATGCTTGAGCCCGGATGGGAGCAAGGTGATTGACATCCATGGGGATCAGGTCGCAGCCAAGTAATGTTACTCCGTGACAATAAAAGCTGCTAGTAAGGGCAAAGCTCCAGCCCGCCAAGCCTGTAAGACAGAAACAGAGAAGGTTCGCCCCAGAGCACAATCAAATCATAGCTGATGAGATTGACCGATTGCTGGATGCAGGGTTCATCAGAGAAGTTCAGTACCCAGTTTAGCTCCCAAAGGTAGTCGTTGTGCAAAAGAAGAATGGGAAATGGAGGGTATATATTGACTTCACCAATTTAAACAAAGCATGCCCAAATGATAGCTTCCCATTGCCAAAGATTGATCAAATGGTGGATGCCACTACTGGATACGAACGATTAACCTTCCTGGATACTTACTCAGGTTACAACCAAATCCCTATGGACCCAAATGATGACAGAAAACTTTTTTTGTCACCGAACGAGGAATCTACTACTACAAAGTGATGCCGTTTGGACTAAAGAATGTTGGAGCTACTTATCAAAGGTTGGTCAGCAAGATTTTCAAAAATCAGATGGGGAAGACTGTAGAGGCCTATATTGATGACATGGTGGTAAAGAGTAAGAAAAAGGACGATCACTTGGAACACTTGCAAGATGTATTCGGGGTGTTAAGGAGGTATGGAATGAAGCTTAATCCAACCAAGTGCTCGTTCGGCGTGGGTTCTGGCAGTTCCTAGGACACGTGGTCATAACAGAGGGATTGAAGTTAGCCCAGCCCAGGCAGAAGCTCTGATAAAAAATGCAGAACCAAGAACGGTCAAAGAAATGCAAGCACTCACAGGTCGGATAACCGCACCGAGTCAATTCATTTCTAAGCTGTCAGATCGCTATAAACCGTTCTTCGATACAATAAGAGACCATGGAAAGCAGGCCTGGAGGGATGAGCAACGACAGACACTAACCAGCTTGAAAGAATATATGCGGAACCCTCTAGTCTTATCTGCCCCTGAGCCAGGTGAAAAGCTCTTTATGTACCTTGGTGTGTCCAGCGTTGCAACAAGTGCCATTCTGGTGCGCTGTGAAGAAGGTAAGCAGTTCCCGGTGTTTTATGTTAGCATAACAATGGCCAAGCCGGAAAGAAGATATTCAAAGGCCGAACGAGTGATCCTATCATTGGTAAATGCAAAAAGGAAACTCAGGCATTACTTTGAATCCCATCCTATCGTCATTCTGACCACCCTCCCTGTACGGATGATCCTTCATAAGCCAGATCTGTCAGGAAGAATGACAAAGTGGCCATAGAGTTGAGCTCATTTGACATAACATACGAACCTAGAACGGCCATCAAAGGACAAGCGGTGGTTGATTTCCTGCTAGAATGCGATGTAGAAGACCTAGAAGAAGATTTTAGAGGTTTTTCATGGAAGCTCTTCGTAGATGGCTCTTCAAATCAAATGGGGGCAGGAATTGGGATCAAACTGCAAACGCCAGAGGGCACCACGCTGAGTCAAGCGGTTAGACTTGAATTCAGCGCAACCAATAATGAGGCTGAATACGAAGCATGGCTGGCTGGACTGAAGTTGGCTAAAGAATTGAAGGTTAAAAGTCTAGTTGCTTTTAGTGACTCACAGCTGATCATCCGACAGGTGACTGGGGAATATGGAACCAAAGATGAGATAATGGAGGCATGCCGCTCTGCCGTTCTGCGTGAAACAAAAGATTTTGATCAGATTAATTCATCCAATTGCCGAGGGAATATAATGAAGACGCCGATTGATTGGCTTGTAGTGCATCAAGTTCGGGAGAAACATTGGCTAGAGTTATACCAGTTGAAGTGTTGTCTCAGCCTTCCATCTTTGAGGAACCGTCCAGTTCGGACCCTCGGCAAGTTAATGTCATACCATACGAGCCGAGCTGGATTAACCCAATCATGACTTTCATACGGGATGGTGTGTTGCCCGAGCGGAAAGATGAGGCAAGGAAAATCAGGTCAAACGCTGCAAAGTATGATATTGTGCACAATCAGTTGTATATAAGGTCTTTCTCCGGACCGTACTTGAAATGTGTCACCCCCACAGAAGCTAGGCAGATCTTACGAACTATCCATGAGGGGGTGTGTGGCAATCATTCAGGAGGAAGATCTCTAGCGCACAAAGCAATGACACGGGGATATTTTTGGCCTAACATGTCACAAGATGCGAAAGAGTTCTCTAGAAGATGCGATAAATGCCAAAAGTTCGGACCATTGATTCACCAACCACCTGAAGATTTGCACGTAATGGCCAAGCCATGGCCTTTCGCGCAATGGGGGATGGATGTGGTTGGCCCTCTGCCGACCGCAAGGTCACAGAACAAATACGTTCTGCTAGCAACAGATTACTTTACCAAATGGGTCGAGGCAGAGCCATATCCCAGTGTGACCCAAACTCAAGTAAGACGCTTCATCTGGAGTAATATTATTTGTCGCTTTGGCGTACCAAGGTTGATCATTCTGGACAATGGGACTAATCTCGACAGCAAGCAAGTGAGGGAGTTGCTAGAAGAGTATGGAATCAATCAAAAGTTGGCAACGGTCAGCCATCCGCAGGCAAATGGTCAAGCTGAGATCACGAACAGAACAATCTTTGCTTGTATCAAGAAGAAGCTTGAAGATGAAAAAGGGAAAAGGTTGGATGAGCTTCCGAATGTCTTGTGGGCTTATAGAACAACCCCGATATGACCGACCGGGGAAAGCCCATTCACTATGGCGTACGGCACCGAGGCAGTAATACCAGTCGAGCACTTAATTCCAACTGTTCGAAGTTTAGCATGGAATCAAGAGCAGAACGATAGCATGTTGAAGTTTAGCCACGATCTGCTGGAAGAGAAAAGAGATGCAGCGGTAATAAGGCTCGCATCTTATCAGTAGACACTCGTGAATAGCCACAACAAAAGAGTGAAGCATAGAGACTTTGCACCTGGCAATCTGGTTCTGAAAAAGAAGGTGGGGATTGTCAAAAAGATGATGTCACCATGGGAAGCCCCATACAGAGTGGCTGAAACCATAGGAAAAGGGGTATACGTGTTAGAGACTATGGCTGGAAGGTTGGTCAACAAACCATGGAATGCCACGTCTCTGAAAAAGTACTACTAGTGAAAGATTGAATTACATTTTAAGCAATATTCATTCAGAGTTAAGCTCTTACAAATGTATAGACCTCGCAAGGATATATAAAAGGAATTCAGTTGGTTTAAAAAATTGAATTGAACAAAGAGCATTTTTCTTGAAATAAAAAGTGGTAAGTGGCATTCTAGCCAAGCGCCAAGCATTTAGCTAAGTAAGTGGCAAATGGTACTAAGAACTAAACGCCAAACACTTGCTAAAAATAAAAGTCAAGTGGCAAGTGGCAAGTGGCATTCTAGCCGAGCGCCAGGCACTTAGCCAAGTAAGTGGCAAATGGCATTAAGAGCCGAACGCCAAACACTTGCGCAAAAATAAAAAGTAGCAAGTGGCATTCTAGCCAAGCGCCAAACATTTAGCCAAGTAAGTGGCAAATGGCACTAAGAGCCGAACGCTAAACACTTGCTCAAGTGGCATTCTAGCCGAGCGCAAAGCACTTAGCCAAGTAAGTGGCAAATGGCACTAAGAGCCGAATGCCAAACACTTGTGTAGAAATAAAAAGTGGTAAGTGGCATTCTAGTCGAGCGCCAAGTATTGAGCCAAGTGGCAAATGGCACTAAGAGCCGAACGCCAAACAGTTGCTAAAAATAAAAGTCAAGTGACAAGTAGCATTCTAGCCAAGCGCTAGGCACTAAGTCAAGTAAGTGGCAAATGGCACTAAGAGCCGAACGCCAAACCTTATGAAAACTAAGTGGCAAGTGGCATTCTAACCGAGCACCAGGCACTTAGCCAAGTAAGTGGCAAATGGCACTAAGAGCCGAACGCCAAACACTTGCGCAGAAATAAAAAGTGGTAAGTGGCATTCTAGCCGAGCGCCAAGCATTTAGCCAAGTGGCAAATGGCACTAAGAGCCGAGCGCCAAACACTTGCTAAAAATAAAAATCAAGTGGCAAGTGGCATTCTAACTAAGCGCCAGGCACTAAGCCAAGTAAGTGGTAAATGGCACTAAGAGTCAAACGCCAAACACTTGCGCAGAAATAAAAGCCAAGTGACAAGTGGCATTCTAGCCAAGCGCCAAACACTTAGCCAAATAAGTGGCAAATGGCATCACGAGTCGAACGCCAAACACTTGTGAAATGAAAACCAAATAGAAAAATTAAACTGTCAGCTCATTCAAGAACAGGTTGAAGAATAAAAGCTTTGCAAAACAGAATTGTCACTTCATTCATCACAAAATAGTTCTTGAAGTACATGAGTTGACATTAAAATAAAAGGGAAAATAACTACAAAAGTCAACAGAACGCTAATCTGAAGTATCCTCTCTTATGCCGGATCCATTGCTTGCCCCATCATCACCAGCTAGCTCGCTGTTTCCCTCTCCGTCATTGGCTGCATTACCGTCTCTGGAGGGAGAGTTAAGATGGATGATCTCCACAGTCGGTAAAGCTCTGTCAAAGGCAACAGATGTGGAAGGAACGATGGTGGTGATGGGAGGAACATTCAGAGGACGAAAAGGTGGGATGACCCCTGAAGCTGCAATCTCATTGCACTCAATAAAAATGTTTTCAGCAGGAGCAGGGAGTGGATCTTGGTAAGTGTTCAGCGGGTTGATATCCAAGGAGGCATCTAGTTCATCTGGACCCGCACAGGTGCTTGATTCGCCCTCAGAGGGAGCACTATCAATAAAACCATCTCTGTACCCCTCGGCATATCTTAGAGCCCCTATCCTAGTGAAACGAGCATGGAGAGCTCTCATGCCACCATCAACTCTGCCTATGACGTTCAACAAAGTAGAGCGTTCATTTGAGAACTTTTCTTCAGAATTGGAGTGGGTCAACCGTTCAGCGATCAGAGTGCGCTGAAGGTCCCCCTTTTCTGCCCTCAGAGCATTCCTTTCTGTCTGTGCGACGTTCTTCTCTGTCTTCAGAACGTCAACCTCGTCTTGAAGAGAATCTCGCTCAGCCCTTAGAGCGTTCCTCTCAGCCCTCAGAGCGTCCATCTCCCTCTTTGACTCATTCAGCTTAACCAACAGCTCTGAGTTATTGGCTTCGGTTGCCCTCTCTGAGTCAACAGATCTTTTAAGACCAGCAGAGAGGGATTTGATCTTCTTGTTCAGAGTTTCAATACTCTTCTGGAAAGTAAACATCCTAAATAGAGTCTGCACAAAGGCAAATGTGTTCTGATAAGTACAAATGTCAAATAATCAGAACGGGAAAAACAAAAAAGTAAAAAGGAGAGGAAAAATTACCTCAACTGCAGCTGCTGGGATGCGTTGGTACATTTCATTGAAGGTCATTTTGTTCTGAACCTCAATGCCTTTGAGAGTCCAAAAGCCCTTGTAGAAGGCAAAGGATGTGACTGGGTCTTTGAACAAAGAATCAATGGGAGCAATAACTGACCCATCCTCACGACTAAGCAAGGGACGCCATGGGGTCACTGTTGGTGAAAAGCTGGAGGTTCTAGCTAATTCACCCTCCTGAATGGATAGCTGAGGAGTGGGGACAGAATTGGTGACCCTGAAAGAAGTTCGGGCACTTCGAGCTGGGAGAGGTCACTTTGATCAGAACTACCCTCAGGCATAGGTCTTTTTCCGAGTCTGATTTCTGAAACGTCAGCTCGGGTGAGAGGAGATCCTTCAGCGTTTTGAGAAAAGCCACCAACATTCTGAGCACCCTGTGGGGAAGCTTCAGTCAAAATGTCAGGCTGAACTTCAGCTGAGATTGATGCAGAGGACCCAACAATCGGGTGCTCGGTAGTCTGGGCCATAACCGGGACGGTTGAGGTGGCCGCAGTGATGGCAGGTGCAGTTGAAGGAGTGGGGACAGAACGCCTCCTCCTACTGAAAGAAGGAATTTGGATATTCTCCATGGTGGATCCAAGGACGAATATGTCAGAGAGATTGTCAGGGGTGAGCAGGTAAGTGGCTGAGAGGATGTTATTCAGAACTCTCTCCTTCAGAATGTCAAGCCTGGCCTGCAAAGGCTGTAAACCAATTCGTCATGATTTATTTGAAGGCATTTACAAAGAAAAGTACAAAAACGAGGAAGGCAGGATTCACAGTGGCAGTCAGTGGGATGTTTCTTAAATTTCTTATACTGAGGGACAGAGCACTCTCCAAAAGTGGTTGGGATAGGGAAGGTCTGAGCGAATGGAGTTCACCAATTTCCATTAACCCCAATTAAGGTTTTCCTCCAACCCTTTTCAAATGAGAGCTTGTCCGTACAGATAGATCGCTTCTCGATGGGAAAGAAGTGAAAATACATTTCGTTGGTTCTGATTTTGGTAACTCGATAGCAAAGTAAAAGGTCTATGATATCTAAGTCAAGACCCCTATCACAATTCAAAATCAAAAGGACCAATATTACCCTAAGGAAGTTGGGGTTAACCTGAAGAAGGGAAAGCCCTAATTTACTGAAGACATAACAAAAGAACAGGTGTAAGGGAAATCTGATTACATTCAAATGAAGAGCTGAGAAGAGAATCTCCCCAAGAAGGAGACCCTCATCGGAGCTCTCATCCAGATCCATGGGATAAACCCTGAGGGAGACGTCGTTTGGGATGTTATTCCTTGAACGAATAGCATTCAAGTCAAGGGGAGCCATTAAAAAAGGGGAAGAAATTTTTAAGTGTAAATTCCTTTCTTCTAAAGAGAGTATCAAGAGAAAGGAACTAACCTTGGAAAGGGAGTTTGCAAAGTACCCTGTAACAAAGCGAAAGTCGAATCGCAAAGCGAAAAAACTCGCCGGAGAAAACAAGGGAAGCCCGCTGGAGAATACAGATAAGTGATAGAGATAATCGATGAAGATGACGCTGGAGGATGGAGGTGAGAAAGGTTGAAGAAAGACAAAAAGTGAGAAGTTGTGGTTTTTAAAGTGAAAATGGTTCAACATCCAAGAAGCTATGGTAAAGATGGTGCAGCCGATCTCAAAGTGTGGGTCTCTGAACCAACCGTTCGCTTCCCCACGTCACCGCTTCGAGCCGTCATGTCATGGTTATGTCCTTTCGATAATCTCACCCTAATTGGGGGCAGATGAGGATACCAAAAATAACCTGGGCCAGGTACCTGATTGCTAATAGCGGGTCGGGCAAGAGCAACCGCTCTGGACCAAGTCTTCACTAATCAAGCCCAGGACCGGGAAATTATGTTGGAAGCCCGATTTCAGATAAAAGGAATTGAGCCAATAACCAAGAAGAGCCTAGAAGAACAGCCCAGTGTAAGGAGTTAGTTAGGAAGCTTCTAGAAAATCTGTAACAATCTATAAAGAGACTGAAAATAGAGGGAAAAGGGGTTGGAAAATCTTTGAAGTGTAGAATTACTCTTTCCGAATTGAGAGGGAAAATTTCTTGCATCTTCAGCCTCCCGCCTCCTACAACTTGCTCAAAAAAGTGAAAATGGAAAGGGAAAAACAGTATCTCCTGGCCTTCGTCATTGAGATTAAAAGCACCAACGGTTCTAAGAAAGAATCTAAGAGGTAACTGTCTATCCAAAGGACAGTCTGTTTCATGACCATCCGGAATGATATCATGCATAGATGTTTAAAAGATTCAGTAACAATCCCTTATAATCAAAATATCCACATCCTCTTTGTAACATAAGAAGTTTGATTTATTGTTAGCCATATATATGAACTCAACAAAGTGTGCACTGAACAACAAATAAGACCAGTAAGATTTAGGATGTAGACCAGTAATTTAAGTTCATGAATCCTCAGAAAGTTACATTTAAGGAACAACCAGTATCATAGATGTCAGTTCATATCTCATTCAGCCCAACAGATTGCAAAACCATGGGCACACAATCACATCCTATGCAAAAGCTTTGTGTATAAACATAAAACTCCTCCCATGTGGAGGGGGATAAAATACATAAGCCAAATCAACCATTTATCTAAAATTAGCATGAGACACCAAAGAAGCAAGTGCAAAATTAGATAACTAAAGTAGTAATCAGTAAATGAAAATGAAGTTACAAGATTAAGAAATAAGTCCCTTAAGCACATTATGAATAACAAATATTCAACAATGAGAAACACATACAAAAAAATGAAGCTTGAAGGGAAAAGACGGGGTATCATTAACAGAACAAATACCTCCTCATATCCGAGTAGACGATGAATCAAAATCATCAGGAGCAACTCGAGCAATCCAATTGCTCAGCGTCCTTTTAATATCAGAGTGATTAACATAAGCCAATTCGTACATGCTACACAAATTCACCACAAGAGTTTCATTCAATGCCACGGTAGGTATACTCTCCAATGCACTTTCCAAAACCTTGATGGAATCCGATAAATCCCTCAAATACATCAAGCAAATCGCCTTGTTGTTGATTGCCACCACATCCGAACCGTCCCTCTCAACGCACTCGTCGTACTCCCTCACCGCGGACACATAATCCTTCCCAACCAAATATATCAATGCTTTGTTCCTACTCACAAGGTTCCTCAACTCAACCTCACCCTTGCCCTCCTTCACCAAACCCTCAATCATATCAAAAGTTGCTTTTGCCCTTTCCAAATCTCCGATTTGCATCTGAATAAACCCTAGCTTCGACAACAACACTGGATTCTTCGTATCACCACTACGATTGATCAAATCGTTAACCAAATTCAAACACACACCAAATTCTTTATTGCTCAAATGGTGACTGATTAGCGAATTGATCACGAAACACTCACGTTTCCGCCACAATTCGTCAGAAACGCTCAAATTCTTCGATTCATTGTCGGTTAATTTTGTTCGTACTAAGTCAAGAAGCAAATAGAATCGATCTAGGGTTTCTTGGCGCTTACCGAGTTTGGAGGGGAGTTCGGCGTGGAGCCAGCGGAGGGCGAAGGGGACCATGGAGCCGGAGCGGTTGGGGTAGTGCTGAGGGTAGGATTGGTAATTGTATTGAGAGGAGTCGAGGTCGTCTTCGAGCGAGTCGAGCTCGGCGGAGGCATCGGAGAAGCGGCGGAGCTTGGTGAGGGCGAGGAGGTTGTAGGAGAGGTAGGTAAGGTGCTCATGGGGCTTGGAGAGGAGAGAGAGCTTGCGAGCGCGAGCGACTTTATCGAGGATGGAGCGCCACGAGCCGCGACAGGCGAGGTCTTGGAGGGAGGAGAGCTCGTGGCAGAGATCGTTGAGCGAGCCGAACTGGTTGGTGAGGGGATCGGAGGTTAGGGTTTGGTGTTCTTCGGCTTCGTCGACGGTGTCCATGGTGGTGGAATCGGGTGGTCGTGGCGGGGAATGCTATTGTGCACCGGGGTGGAAGGTGGGTGGTGGTGAAGTGGATCACGTGACTTGATTGCTGTTGAGTTACAATTTACAGAAGTGAAGACTTGCAGGGATCGAGCGATACAATTTACAGAAGTGAAGACTTGCAGGGATCGAGCTCTTTCCAAGATTTGTTAGACATTGAGATGTTATGCACGCGTATTAAGCAACTGCAGCGGGCTCTTCAAGCCCATTTTCCTCTAGCAAAAGGGCTTTTGGGCGTGCAGCGGCCTAGTCAAAAATAGTTAGGCCCAATTTTGCTCGCGGATTGACTCTCGATATTCATCGAGCTGGCCCACAATTGCTGGAAATTTTTTTTTTGTTTTTTTATTACAAAACGGCACAATTGCAAAAATAGTTAGGCCCAATTTTGCTTGCGGGCTGGCTCGCGATATTCATCGAGCTGGCCCGCGATCGCTGGAATTTTTTTTTTTGTTTTTTTATTGCAAAACGGCGCCGTTTTTGGTTGCCTTTTTTGTTTTTTCTTCCAACGGTTGTACATAGTGATTGTTCAGAATTTTTTTTTGAAAAAACATAAAAATAGGTTATTTAGAGCTCTTTTTTTTTGAAAAAATAAAATAAAAAAAATTCATTAAAAAATATATATATTGTTTAGGCATTGTTTGTCCAAAAAATAATTCTTTTGGCACAAAAATAAATTTAAATTTTTTTTTTTGTTTTTTCCCTTAAAATTTGGTTTTTTTAAAAAAAAAAAATTGCTTTAAATTTTAAATTTGTACCACAAATAGTGCATTTGGAAGTTAAGACACTGTTTGGCTGACAGTGCCTTAACGGTTATAATTTTAAAAAAAAGTTTAAAAATTCAAAAAAAAAATAACTTTATTAAAAAATAATAATAATAATTAAAAATTTTAAAATATCTATAAATACCCCAACTCCTACCATCACTCATCACATCTAACACATCCCTATTATCTAACACATCTCTGGTATCTTTGAATTCACGGTCCGCCCAAAAGTTCATATAGGATTTTGTAATCCTTGGTCTATTTATTTTCTTATTCCAATTTAGGAAATTGTATTGTTTAAGTTATTTTTAATTATTTTGTTTAATTTGTTTTTTTTAATCCATAATGGATAATGTATTGTTTCAAGTTATAATATCAATCGTAGTTTTTTTTAATAATTTGAAAAAATATTGTTTAATTGAAAAATATTGCCATTGAGAAAATATAGCCGTTACAAATATAACCGTTAAAAATATAGCCTTTGGGAAAAAAATTTAATATATATATATATAAACATATATTTTTTATAAAGCGAAAATTCGGAAAGCCTATGCATGTTTCTGGAGAGCAAAAGTTGCTGACGTGGCTTTTGGAATTACTGACGTGACTCTTGAAAAAGCTGATGTGGCATTTTTAGAGAGCCAAAATCCGGATAGGCTGGTGCAGATGGCCATATAGTACCAGTATTATTATTATTACTCCCTATTATTTATATTTATATATTTTTGTTATACGCTTTTTGTTTGTCAGGATTTTTTTTTTTTTTTCAAAATTTGAAAAATAATTTTAAGAATTCTGAAATAAAAAATAAAAATAAAAAACAAATTTTAAAGAATCAAGGGATAGTGTTGTGCAAATTTTGAAAAATAATTTTTGACAATGTTCTCGAACCACATAATATTTTATATTTTTTTTACAGAAAATTAAACTAAAGGATCACAAGATCCTGCATTATTTAGAATTGTCCCGTCAATCAAAAACCGTAAGAGGGTTCTTGTTTGCATGACATTATATGAGATACCCCTCGAATCCGAGACACGGGTTGATCAGGCCCAAGCCCAAACCTGAGGGAATATCAAACAATTAATATTTTATAATGAACACGGAATACAAAATAAATTAAGAACTGAAATTAAAGCTGGAAGGAACTAAAGGCCGGTCTCAACCTGAATAGAGGTAACATGTTAAAACGCACACGAAGTGGGCATATGTACCTATACCCAAATAGAGTACACCTCCAACCATCGTAGCCAACTACACATCCTGATGCATATACGCTCCCTAGCCATCGGTCATGAGGCTCAAGCTCATACCGAGGCACCATAACAGTACGTATATAAAATCCATCAAAAATCCCTGGTATTACCGCTCAACAAGTAATTGCCATGACAATACAAATCCACGGGACTTAACTTTTAGTTAATCCCATCCTTATTCCAAGTAGGTGGGTAATGGTATTATTTTAAAAATCAAACCCATCCTTAGTATGCCACCGTCCCATACCGGTGCCTACTTTCCAATCCTCCAGTAGTCAATAATACCAAAAAATCAAGTATATATCAACTAAATTCCAATATCCAACATTCAATGTTAGCAGTGATAAAATAAGCATTGATAAACAGGGTCACAATAACAACATATACATGCCCAATTTAAGTTGTTCCCTTTAGTCTGATATAAAGACAGAATTAATTAAAACTTCCATTTAACATCTTACAAATGACATACAGATATGTAGGGTATGTATCACAAAATCCTAATCTCCACAGTTGATACTAACTGTGATAATGTAAGCATCAAAACAAAATTCACAGTATGTATGTAGACATGCTCAAATTATAGTGTTCCACAAAACCGATCTAGTGTTAAACTCAAATCCTCCTAGTATTTAAGTTCCAACAGTTGCTATTACTGAAGTTAATATAACTATCATCTAGACCCATCCTTCCAATAATTTATACTAGCAGTGGTAAGGAAAAACGTGAACCACAGAACCACAATGCATCCACAAACATGCTTAGTCTAGGTTGAACAAGCATATAACACTACTGTAACTACCAGTTTCATAACAAAATAGATATCATTTTAGTTTGGTTTAATCTTCATTAATCCTGAAATCATTTAAGAATGCAAAGAGTATGAAGCCTAAGGGAAAGAGTATGGATAGAATCTTGCCTCAGAAACTTTTGTTCAAAGTTTCAACGTCGTCTTCTTAAAAAATCCCGGCGAGTTCCAAAACCCGATTACTGTTCACGGGTACGAAACACTATTCCCAAACTCAAAATCTGATCTCCACCGTTCAGATTGTGCGACACTGAGTCATGAACCTATCCTCCAAATTTCAGCTCGATCGGATCACGGACGAAGCGGGATCGGATGTTTGATGAAATCTGGGCAGAATGGAAAAAAAAACCTGTGCAACCCAGTTACTGTTCACGAGTATGAATCACTGTTCCCGAGGTCAAACTCTGATCTTCACCGTTCAGATTGTGCGTCACTGAGTCGTGAACCTCTCCTCCAAAATTCAGCTCGATCGGACCACGGACGAAGCGGGATCGGATGTTTGATGAAATCTGGGCAGAATGAAAAAAACCTGTGCGACCCAGTTACTGTTCACGAGTACGAATCACTGTTCCCGAGGTCAAACTCTGATCTTCACCGTTCAGATTGTGCGTCACTGAGTCGTGAACCTCTCCTCCAAAATTCAGCTCGATTAGACCACGGACGAAACGGGATCGGACGTTTGATGAAATCTGGGCAGAATGGAAAAAACCTGTGCTTTTCCTTCTCCACTTCCACAAAACGTGTGATTTGTTTAAAAAAAAACCTACACAGACGTCTACCTTATACTTATAGAGTTTTCCTAAACCCTAGGTTCATTTAAGTCCAACTCACAATCCTAACCGGCCCATCCAATTAACGTAGAAACCTACGACGGCTATAATATAAAACCCTAATTTATACTGTAATTAAAACCCTAGTTAGATGTATTTACCTAATTACTCTATTCACCATTAAATACTTAACAAATAATCTAATTGAACAAAATAATAATTAGTAAACCCAATTAAACCCAAATAAGACACACATAAAATAAGACACACATAGAATAATTAAACCAATTACACTTAAACCATTAATGCCAATTAAATAATTAAAACACTAACAAGTAATTCCAATCAAATAACTAAACCAATTAAACTTAAACCATTAATGCCACTTAAATAATTAAAATAGTAACAAGTAATTCCAATCAAATAACTAGAAATAAATATCATTTAAATAAATTAAATCACCACAAAAGAAATAAATTAAATCACCACAAAAGAAAACAATTAAGCACCTAATAAAAAAAATAATGACACATAATCAAATAAAATGCACTTAAATAATAAATTAAATACCATTAAATACCAGAAATATCCTTTTAAAAATTAAGAGTATTACATTATATCAAGTAAAATTACAGTAAACGATCACAAGATCCAACTGCATTTTATGTTCTTAGGTTCTTATCCCCATTGTATATTATACGTTGAGTGTTTTATTAGATTTTATTTTTTTATTATTTTTTTTCTTTTTTAATTTTCTTGGGGACTACAAGAGGAGACAAGCCAACTAGGCCCAAATGCCCAGTGAACATCACCCCTACAAGAGTTTAGAGCCCATTTACTGATACTGTGGAGTGTGGGCAATATTATTTCATGCTTTAGGGGCTTGTGAGCAATAAGAAGAATGACAAACATGGATTATTATATTTTGTTCTTGTAATATATATATATATGGATTGTAATTTGCTTAATAAATAGAAAATATGTCAGAGTTTAGAGTTTTAGCTGTAATAGTGGCAGTCCATTGACTAGGGCACAGTGTGGGGTTAAACACTAAACACTATCCAACTTGTATTACTGCCTCCTTTTGAGGATCTCTTTGAGACTCAGACTTAGATAGCTACATATGTATATGTGTGTGTGTGTGTGAAGCTTTATGCACTTCAAGAACGAAAGAAAAAAAAGGAATATCACAATTTTCAAAAACGGAGTATATTATAAAGACTACTGAATAGCAATCAACCATCTGTTACATAATTTTTTCCCGCATCAAAGTATTCTTTAGTTTGAGCTTGGAGGCGAGTTTAAATTAATAAATTGTGGACCATTTCTTATTACACATATCATATATATATATTGCACATCATGTCTGAAGAGTTGGTAATATGCCGCCCCTGCAGGAACAATTACACATGAGTCATATTTAATTAGGGGAATTTTTTTTACTCAAGAGTCATGAAGCATATTTGTTATAAATTACACCATCCTCTTTAAAACTAATTTTACTTGAAAAAGTTAAGAAACAGGAAATGGCTTCATAAAGAACTGCACAATAATGCTGGAGTACGTTGCTCTTTAATTTGTTCTTTTTTAGATTTAAATTTAACAACGGCAGATTATATATATATTACGTTCCACGGACTAGCTCAATATATTAGTTAGGCTTTCGGGAGTACTTCCACCAAGACTCACCAAAGAACTAAAATTATGCACATTTTTTAATTTAAGTACTTTGTGGAAATGATTCCTCCCCATTTTGAATGCAAAAATGGGAGGGTCCCAAGCTCCCAACAGAAATGTTCTTCCCCACTTTGTTTTAAACTTAATTTAACCATATATTAATTTTGCCGACAACTAGGCAGAAGAAATGCTTTGATTTCTCTTTATTTCTTTACCCACACCTTTTAGGTTTGAAATGGATCCATCCAATAGAATTTGTAACGTTAAGAACAGTAGCGCCTGAGCGTTGATCAAAAGTTTAAAACTAAGACAGGCAAAGGCAACAATATATTGACGCATATCATTATTTATTTTAATTATAAGAAGTGAAATTTAATTTTTTTTCATTTTTTTTTTTAATTTTTTTTTTACATATTTAAATATGAGAACCCATATATCCTAATTATAAACAACATTTCTCCTCATTAATTTGGAAGCCAGTACTGTCATTACTCATTTGCAATAGCGCACTCGTGATGAGAGTTTGAGTACTCTCTATTTCAGTTTTCTCCTCATCTAAGCGCATACGGGGCGCAAGTTGTTTGAGAGAGAGAGTGTGTCAGTGTAGAGAGAGAGAGGGGCGGTACGGAAGAACAAGTGGAGTGGTTTTTTTATGGACCCTACAATGATCTCTATGGGATTGTCTACAGATGGAGTGAGCTTTAGAGAATACACAACAAATTGTTTTCTTTGTTTAATTGCTTACGGATGTGTGTCTTGTATTTATTGGGTTGTCTTCAAATTTTTTATTTTATTTCTAAATTAAATTAATAAAATAATAAATAGAAAATAAAATAATTAAGTTTCACTATTTTATGTAGATGAAAAAAAATAAAATATCACATTATCACTTACTTCTTAACTTACGTGTTATTTTATTTTTTAAAAAGTAGATTGATAAACTTCAATCCACACACTCGCTATAAAATATCTTAAGAAACTTGCACCATTTTTTTTAATAGGAAGGTACAGCTATGGACAAGCCAAAGCCATCCCATCCCACCCATAGTACAGATACCACGACATGAAAATTGAAATCCTTTATATACATAGAGTTTGTAAAAGTAAGCCATATATATAACATCATGCATGAGGAAACTCATATATTAAAGTAAGAAGTAGTGAGTGTTGCATAACTACACATTCTATTTCCATCAATAAGCTAAAACCATTTTACATTCTATGTCCACCAAAACCACTCACAATTACAAAACTACAAGCCGGCCTGCAAGCTAGAACTCCTAAAACATGCAAAGAAATGCCGAGAGAGAGAGAGAGAGAGAGAGATTAGGTGGGGAATCTGATCAGATGAGGGAAGCAGAGCATGTAGTACTACAAGTACCATACATATATTCTCATGATCATCGTAGATATATATATATATATCTACATAATAGAACAGGCATTTGGGTTGTCATCACTGAACATGGAGATGTAGGGGTCCTCATATTTGGTGACAGTGCCACTTGTTGAGTTCTCAACCTTCCTGACATAGCCAGGAGGGGCCTTCTTGTCATAAGCTTGAGCAGCGTAAGGCTGAGCCACTAGGTTGTAAGGTACATAGGGCCATATCTCCGCCTTTTTCCCTGTTGACTTGGCCTTCTTCAACACCTTGTTTGCATCAACATATCCACTTACTGTCACCCTCTGCTGCTTCCTGTTTATCTCCACAGATTTCACTCCTGTACGTTTTGTCACAAATTTATTTATTATAAGTCTTCCATCATTTATATATAAAGCACTATAAATGAAACAAGAAATTAATTAGTAGTTGAAAATTAAAGATCTAGCTAGCTATATATATATGTATAGCTTACCACTTAATGAAGACAAAGCTTTTTTGACTTTAAGCTCACACCCATCACAGTCCATTCTGACCTTGAGCTCTACAGTCTGTAATTGCTTCTTCTTCTTGTGCTTGTGACCACTGCTCATCATTTCTGAGATGTATTCCAATGTTCCTCCAACACCCATCTTGTGTTTGATCTTTTTAGACAAAAGGGTCCTAGAAAATCACTTTAGAAAATGAAAGCAAAAGCTTCAATTTTGAATTCTTCAAATGAAGTTTTAACAATACCCAAGACTGAAATGAGAATATATATATATATATATTATAGCAGGTGATATGAGGGACTAATAAAAACTAATGAGTATATTTAAGGAGATAGAAGAAGTTATACCAAATAAAGTTTGAAATGACTACTCCAAGAATTTGCAAGAAACTTCCCTCCAAGAAATGGATTCCTTCCTTGTTTGCTTTGCCTTGAAAAACAAAGGAAATGGAAAGGGTTTCAAAGGCTGCTTTGCTGAACTCTCTCTTTTACTTGCTCTGAGATCTTTTCTTTACACAGGCCTACCTCTTATATAGCCCTTTTTTCCACCAGCTTCAGACACAGGAAAAAAGGTTGTGGCCCCCCAAACAACACTAAACAAAACATCGCTTTTTTTCTCAGCCCAAAATATTAATTAGGAGTATATGGGGTTTTGACCATTTAGTCCAGATTTTAAATTAAAAAAAATTAAATATTTAAAGAAAGTGATGTGAACTATTTAAACAGTAAATTTTTTTGGAGTAATGCACATAGAAAGGGACTTGTTGAAAGACCAAACATGGTGTGGGGGCCCATTTGCTGCATAATAATAATACAGTAGATGCCACGTCGCTATGTGGAGTGGTTACACGTGTCAAAGAAAGCATTGATCATGGGGTTCGGCGATGAATCCAACGGTGGAGATGAAAGGGGAAGAGAGGGGCTCCCTATGTATAGGTGTCGACTTTTGTGGGTTGTCTGTTTGTGAGCTGTTTTTGGGCTTGCCTTGCCCATAGGAGGAGCGTAGAAGAAAAAAGGTCAGGAAGAAAACAACGTGTGCTCACTTCGTACATTGATTAGTGCTTTTGAATTTAGGGATTTTAAATATTTTTTATTAATTATAATTTTTCCTTTATTTTTTTCTCTTTTAAAAAAATTTTAACAATATTTTTGTTATTATACTTGTTAAATATATAGTTATATTTAAAAAAAATTATTAAATTTATTTTAAATTTATTCAGGTTTAAATTATTTTTTCTTAAAAAAATATGTATTTCATAGCACTGCAAACCCTAAATTGGGTTTGGTAAAAATTTTTATTAATGGGACAGGATTGAAAAAAGGGTGTCCATCCCATTAATACTTATCCAAGGAATGCGAAAATTAAGGACTTTTTATGCTGGGTGACAAATTTTGGAGTGCTGTAAGAAACATATACAAGTATTGTGGACAAAAAAAATAAATAAATAAAAATAAAGTACCCTATGATGCAGAGTCCCACTCATCAGAGGGCGGTGATAGTTTGGATTCTCTATTTGGGTTAATTGATTGGGCAAGATCGAGAAACATTATATCCAGTTTTAAAATAATAATAGTTGATGATATTGGGGATTCATTAATTAAGTAAATTAATTACAATTGAGTGGGAAAGTCCTCGAATGAAATGTACATGCCACGCGCTTGTAATAATGTTTGCCACTCGCCAATCGCCATAAGAAGAAAGTAGGCTAGCAGTAGCAGCGCTATATATATATGGAAAAATATAGATGAATTAAAGACGTGTTTGACTGAGGACATAGCTGGAATAAAGCTGGCTTTTATATATATATATATATATTAATATATATGCATGTATACTAATTAAAGTAATCAGCTTTAATAATAATTGAAAGTTTGAAGCTTCCACCTCCAGGCTCCAGCCGAATCTTTATGGAAAAAAAGTTATATACACATTTAAAATTATAGAGAGAGGGTTGTTTAAAGTGCGCGCATTGTCTCCCAACAACCATATATATCATAATCATTTCTTCAAGGGTTTTTGATGGGCACTATATTGATCATTTAGACATTGGCGTACTCGGTCTACCATACAACATTAGTCACATGATGTTTTGTGTTAACTTGTCGTGACTAAAAATGTCCTCTTAGTTTAAGACCCAATAATTCGCTAAACTAATGTAACTTGATATGATTTATTCGATCAAAATTTTAATTAAAATGAACCGGAACTATATATATATATATAGAGGGGGGGGGGGGGGTTGTTAGATAGTGGGGCCAATCTAACCTTTGATCCGTCCATTATGACTCTCTTGTACGACAAGAGTACTTAGATATATATTGAACACTCTAGGTTTATATATTATACTAACAATACGGAAAACAAACGAACGATTTCGTCATGAAGCAGGAAAAAAAGATAATGTATATGAATGTTGTTGATGTCACGTACATTTCTCAGTGGCCCGCTAATTGGACTCTCCAATTATTGATTAAAAAGTTGTTTGGCAATGAAATATGTACAAAAAAAAAAAAAAAATTGACCTAACCAAGAAAAAAAAAAACTTTAAATCTCCTATTACTTACGCCATTTTTTAATTATTTTTTCATGCAAGGACAAGCACAGAACGGACAATTTAGCCAAATTATGTTGGATTGTTTTTTCTTTTTGATAGGTACTAAAGTTGGGATTTACAAAAGCAAAATTCTTTAATTCTAAATCTCATGTATATGTGTGTGTTACTTTTACAAAGGCAAAAAAGAAAAGAAAGGAAGGTAAGGTCTTGTTTCTGTGAGTCTTATAATATTATTGAAGCTTATAATGTTTAAAGGAGCCAAAAGATTAAAGCAAATCATGATCTTTTTCATCTTTATATTATACAAAAAAGGGGTAGATAGCTTTAGAAGATGGAGAGAAGGTGGTGCCCCGCACACAGTCCACACACACAGTCCAACAATATCATGCATGCACTTAATTCCTTACTATAACCCAATAATTGTTCACCTTCCCCCACCTTTTTTCATTGTCTTTACCCATCCATATCTAACCCTAAATCCTCCAAATTAATCTCCCACTCAACTTATTAAAATGCTATGTGTAGACGTGTTTGTGTGTGTATATTTATATATATATTCATATATAAATATTTGAGTTGCTATATTGGCCAACTGAAAGAAACACACGAAGATGCAGCGACATGTGTAGTACGTTAGTGATAGTGCAAAGGCTTAAAACAAATTAAGAAGACGTATAAATGGTGTTAGGGTACACGCTTTAACATGACTTCATGTAAAAGTATCAAACATAGACTTGAGTACTTTTTTTGTTCGAAAGTATCAAACCCTATTCCATCTTCTTAAACTCCTATTTGCAGCACAAATTGCTTGTTTTTAAAAGATTGGCTTTGATATATATATATATATATATATATATATATATATATATATATATATATTGGGAGTTAGTACGTTGATATAGGGATTCTCTACGGTACACGCCAACGGACGATTCTGATGATTTGTAATCATTTACACATGTAAATAATCACAACCATCTGATGTTATTGTACCCAATGAATAATTATAATGGACGATTGTAATCATTTACATATATAAATCATCAAATTCATTTGCAGCGGTACAACACTGTGTTATTACCGCAAAGTATAACAAATCACAAGGGCAAACATATACATACATACAAAAAGATTACCACATTTCCTTACATGGTTCCTATATCAAATTAAGGTTCACAATTATGGCATTTACAAGAAATTGAAGCACATGCAAAAGGAAAAGAAGATTCTAAAGTAAAATAATAAAAAAAAGGTTGGTAGAATAAAAGATTTCGCAAAAAAAATATTGTTTACGTGCACAAGGAATAGTCTCTCGTGTGAAAATGAAAGATGGAAGGGAAGAAACAATTTGGAGGAATGGAAAATCAATATTGAGTGAAGAGAGACACTAATTTTTAGTTTGCGTGGATGAACCAGAGCCACAATTGAACTAGCGACATGGTATTCATTGAACAAATTGAAAAAAAATATGGAAACAACGTGCCTAAAAGGGGTGGAAAAGTATGAAAGTAAAACAAAATTCTATAAAGTAGGTGTTTTGTGTCTTGCTTCTTGAGAAAGAAAAACAAAGCCGTGTATGAAATTAAGAATTATTGTTAAAGCAAGTTATTTTAAAAACTTTGTTTTATAGAATGGTTCCTAAAAGTGAGAGAGAAAAAACAAGAAGAAAGGTGATGTGAATGAGTTGTTTTTGAGGAAAAGTGATATAGAGCAGGAAGTCGAAGCCTGTGTACCATTAGATTGACTAGATTGACAGAAACTTAAACTTGATGTTTTTTTGAGGTGAGCCAACCTCTTAGGCTACTTTAAAAATATAAAATATAAATTGTTGAAATTTTTAAAATTTTTGTTGAAGGTCAAAACCAGCAGGAATGGTTTTGATTTTTATTATTTGAGGGCTAATTTGGTGTGGCGGAATGAATGGAGTGGAGGTGGGAATGGAATAGAATGGTCATTCCTTTTGTTTAAGGAATGATTTTGATGGAATGACCATTCTTCAAGAATAGTGAAGAACGATGATTTCAATTTTAAAATTGGTACCAAACACGAGAATGGAAAAAAAAAAAAACCATTTCATTCTACTTTCTTTTATTCTATTCCACCACATCAAACTAGACCTTAATTTAATTAATCGGGTCTTATCCCTATTTTTAGGTAAAGTACTAAATAATACCATACTTTATGTTGTAGGTTTGAACAGAAACATTTCAATTTTATCTGCAATTTATGATTTTATAATTATATTAAACATATTAATTCTCAATTTAGCTTCTGTTTCAAATGGGAGCTAAAAAAAACAAGTTAAGAAATATCCTTTGAAAAATAAATAAATAAAGAGATTATAAGTCATTTTCAAAAATAGCTCAATTGGTACAAATTCACTTTATCGAGAGTTCGAGTCACGGCGAAGGCACAAGTATGCGAGTTTGTTTAAACTTTTGAAAAAAAAAAAAACCATCAAGAGCAAATGAAGTTCTATGCACCACTGTGTACATTATGAAAATCAGGCTCTCCACTCTCAAACAGCACATGAACTTGTTTTGAGAAGGGATTAAGTAAAGTGTTTTGAAAATCACATAACTATTTTTTAAATATCAGATTTCATAAAGCAGCATTAGGACCACATGCACTACCTTTGGGTTGGCACATTTTCACGTGAAAAAATGTAATGTCACATTATTCCTTAGTCTTCACACAAGTTTGTTTCAGCGCCCAAATCAAGAAACTAAGACAACCATGTTTTGGAGAACCAAAATCAAAAACAATATTATTTTTAAGAAAATACTATGACAACATGTTTGGAAGAAAAAAAATAGGTAAGGAAAATAAAATGAAAAATTCAAAACAAAGAGAGAACATGCTGTTAAAAATTAAGTATATATAGATTTTTCTTTTAAAAAAAATAGAAATAATAAAAATATAAATAAAAAAAAATAAAAAAAAGGTTTTTGGTCCTTAACTGTTTTGTTTTGTGATAAAGCTAAATGGAATTGAATTGCTAAAAAAAAAAAAAAAAAACTGTAAAAATATAAAGGCCTAGCAACAAAGCAAGGGCACCAAACAAGGCCAAGAATCTGAACACAGCACACGACTAAAGCCCATAGACATGAAATTAGCACATCATGTCTCAAGTTGCGTACAACTTCGTATTGATTACATAACAATTTTATATCACTTATATAATAATTATTTTAACAATTTCATATCACTTATGAAATAATTATTTTAGATCATTTATATAACAATAATCGATATATTTTGTTATGTAAATAATGTAATGTGTTGCGTACGCGACACAAGATATTCTGAACTACAAAAGGTTATCTGATTCCACATGCATGTAATGTAACTTTGAAGGAAATGTACCACAAGGATATAAATTTGATCTACATTAACAAATGCATGGACTTGGAAGGTTACAATCTGCAACAATAGATCGATATACCATCCATTTTATGTTGACAAGAGATAAGAGAAGTCTCTTCCCACGTTGGTTGAGAAGAGAAAGACGAGTACAGAGGGAGAATGTAAAGAAGAGAGGAAAATAAATCAACCATACAATATCAAACAACCAGCCAATTATTTTTTGTTGTTGTGACTATAACAAAGACATCATCATATCAGTATATTATACAATTTTTTCATGACTTGCATTTCAAATTTTCAACAGAATCCAGGCTGTCCATTGTACCATATAGTATACATACATGTATGCATTATTTGTGCTGGTTTTAGAGTGAGAAACACCTGCATCTCCTTAGATTCTCTCATGCCCTTATCTTATACCATAATTTCAACCAGATTGAATTTGAATTAGCATGTTTCTTTTTCAATTGTTTTGAGTAGGAGAAAATGGAGAAGGGAGGACAGGAGAACAAAAGGATGAAGAAAGATTCCAAAATAAAGGCCTTTTGCATTTTAATAAAAGCGAACCACAAAATTAAAGATATGAAGAAAACAAAAATGAAATGATAACAAATAAGAGATCAAGATGTAATACAATATACTATATCGGTTTTTACCAAATTAGCAACTTAAAAGAAGAATAAGGTAAAATAAAGACATGGACGACAAGAAGGCTCACTGGATGGGAATCGGGATTTTATATGGACAGATCTACCAGGGAATGGGAGTGCCCACCTTAAGAGACAAGGACAAGTTGATGCAGCAAGAGCGGCAGAACCAGTAGCTTCACTAAACATAGCAGGGAGGATGATATTAGCTGAGTTGAGGCAGCTGAGGGCTTTGAGGGAGTCCTTCCTGCTAAGGCAGGAGCAACTGCATTCCCACCAGGAGTTCGCTGCTGCTCGGATGTCGGTAATTGGTTTGGGGGGCTGCCACTGGGCGGTGGAGTCAGCGGCATTCTCTTACTGTCACTTAGATCTTGACCTGACATGAACATAGCTCAATGAGTTGAAAAGAAACCGGCAAATAAAACACAAGCACATACCATTCTGCACGCCACTTCCCTTAAATATTACAGAGTATATCCTAGCAAGCGTCAACTCACTTAGAAGACTAGCTAGTGACCAGCTACACAATACGACGTTCTTAATTGACAAAAACATCAGCAATGGATGTATATCCAAATAGCGTCCTCGGAACCCTACTTTCAGTCCAGCAAATATGCATATACAAAAGCCAAATGGAAGCAAGTAACTGTTGGGGATTTTGGATATTTTTATACAATCTTATTTTTAAGTCTATTCACATAATCATATCAAAATGCACTTTGACTAGAACACTTCTATATTCATATGGCAGTGTAATCATACCACAATATATATAGTATAAATAAAACAATATACTAAAGTAATAGGCCAGTAAAATAACAAAAAATGCAGATTTTTTTTTTTATAAATAACAACAAACACATATTAAAGTAGTAGAGGGTTGTCCTAAAGCCTCTACAGCCTCCCTACATGCAGGTTATGATGACTATGAAAAGCTCCAACATACAACTCCAATGTCCTCCATGCGCACATTCACAGAGTGACGATCACCAAGTTCATTGTCATGTTGCCCATAAACTCAGATATATATATATACACACACTCAAATACATATAATATTTTGGTTGAATGAATGGAGGTTTTACACAGAAAGAAATCTGGAGGAGGAAAGTAAAAGGTGTATATAATATGTTAGAATAACCATATCCCCTTAGCCAATAGATACAACCAGTCACACCTTTCCAAAATAAGAAGTTTTAAAAACTTTTATGTTTTTATTCAAAAAACCTATCAGTAAACTCTTTCTAATCAACTTTGATACAACATGACATAGCTCCTGCTGTGATGTTCCACACTCTACCACGAAGGACCAGCTGAATTTTAGAGCTATCCATGGCAAGCAGCAGAAGGAGGTTGAACTTTGAGCAGACTTTTCAATCCAGAACTATAATAATTTGCCAGAAAGACGTGTTTATATTTATGCTTCATTTCAGTCTATTGAATATAATGGTCAAGTAAGCATATACAACAACTTCCCAAAGTTAATAGACATTTTTTTGAGAGAGGGAGGTGGGTGGGGGGGGGGAGTGGGGAGGTAAAGTTGGTAGGCAAAGTATGAAACCCCTAAAAAGTGGCTTATAAGCTCCAAACATTTCCAGGTTACACCTCTAAATTACAACAATCATAAGCCAATTATTACATCACTAAATAATATGATTGTGAATAGCTTATATACTCACAATTGGAACGTGACCAGCCTAGCTTCAAATGTTCCCTATCAAATACCATCCGATAACCTGTCATAAAGTTCTCTGCATTTGAAAACAAGAAAATATTTTGTTGAGTAATAGAAACTGATCGGAGGGAAATTTAATTAATAGAAAAAGAAAAGCATGCCCACTTACGTCCAATTGTTCCAATATCTCCATCTGCTGCTGCTTGTATGGTTAAGCAAAATCCAGCAACTCCCTGAATCAGAAAAGCTCCAGTTTTAGATATTATATGCATAGAAATGCATAACTGGCTCAATTGTCGTATACAACTCTAATGAACTTGTACATTACTATGTGCTTTTTTCTGCACTAGGATAATAAAATAGAAAACCAAAGTTAGAGTTAATGCTCTTGGTCCAATTGTCTGGTTCCTTTTGAAATTGCTGAAGTAGCTATTGGTGGTTATGGCAAAGATCCCTACGATGGATCTACAAACACTAGAATACAGAAACACTTGAGCACGCATGCAATTGGTGCTCTCTCTGACCCAGTGCACTTGTCCTTGCTTTTCGTCAGAAGGTTCCATATTTAATTGATTTGACTAAGAGATTTCACAATACTAAGTTCTCCATCAAACTAAATATCTTTTGACTATATTTTATATCGATCAAGGCTGAAGTCAATTTATAAAAAAAAAAAATTAAAATATTATGAATGCACAAACATGACTTACAGGAATCTGAAAAACAGGATCGCGGACCACAAAGCTGTTGTTCAATGGAAACTTTAGTGTCACGGAGGGGATCTTAGGCAACTCCTGAGAACTGTTTTATAAAACTATCCATCTTAGCATACAAAACAAAGAGAAAAGGGAGGAGGCCACTTTACAAATTCAATACATCTTATGCAAATTTACCTGTACTTATAGCAATACTCCCAAGGAGATCCTTCATAACTAGTGCGTGTGGCATTTACTAGTCTGTCAAACTATCATCAAAAGCAGTGACATAACACATACCGCTAATAAATTCGAATTATATGGTACAATGGAAAAAGAATTTACCTTACCTCCTTAACAACTCTTTCATATACTTCATTCGGGAGAAATGTAAACGATGTCCCACTATCAACCAGTGCATTGAAGCTGGTCTTCTCAAGACAGGAACTCCCAATACAACATGCCTCCACTCCAGTAATGTAGGTTGTACTGGATGAAAAGTGGCCCAAAACGGAAGTCAAATACAAAAATTATGTAGAAAATTGCAGAAACATATCAAAACAGAGGGCCTGATAAGAATTGGACATATACCAAATAAAAATAGATTAAGTATTATAAATATAAACGAACTTCATACTATTTCCCATTTGAAGGCAAGAAAGGAGTAGTTTGTTGGGTAGCTATTCCCTGGTCTCCAAAAAATATTCTCCCAGAATAGTCCTCATCAAAACACAAAGAAAATGAGTTCTGAACCAATCCAGATTTTGCAAGAAAACTTGGAACTGATATTTCTCCAAGTCCAAGACCCATAAGACCATCAGGAGCAACTCCATCCAAGTAACCACCACTTTGCTTCCTACCACATCTGAATTCCAAAAATGGCAAGCGAAATTTAATTTGTAATATGTTATCACTGAAAACCTAATTCATAGAGTGCTTAAGCAAGTTTGAACACACCCTATAATGACTGGAGCCTGCACAGAATTGTTGGATGTGTCATCACTGCTTGATGCAAGATGCAATATGTCCTCAGCCAACAATCCAGAACTTGATGTACCTTCCGAGAGGTAGTTAACAGTGTAAAGGCATGGCTGCTTAGGACTTTTGCAACTTGGACCCAAGTCACATAGCCGATGGCTGCAAGATAGGTGCTTGCTGGTGCTTGAGATAGATGGATTGTACTCATTTAGATCCCTATCCTGCATAATAGATGCCCCATATACCAGGGAGCACCTGCCAATCAATCACTGGATATAAGTGCTAAACCTGTTACAAGTCTAGCAGATACTGCACAAGTCCTCCGAAACAAAATAAATCAAGTGCAGCCTCTTATATTACTTTAAGTTTTGTAAAGAGTTGAATTCATTTTTGAGTTTCCCAAATTTTGTCCACTTTTTTCCTTTCTCTATAATTTACATCTCTACTTATTTTCAAAGATACTTAAACTTAAACTTTAATCCACTTTTCAAACATAATTGTAATCGGCATAGTGACTGGAAACTGTGGAAATAGATCTTTTTGAAATGATAGCTTCAGTGGTTGCTTTGTTACAGTGATATGGGGAACAAAATTCAATAAGTTGAAATTTTTTTCTGATTAAAGATGAAAATCAAATAGCAATAATTGAGCATTCATATTCCATCTCTTTAGTAACTCTAAAAAGTTAAAAACAGAACTGTTATAAAAATAAAAGTGAATAGCAAAGAACATACCGAAGAAAAAATAAAAATTTGAGATAAACTAAAAACAAGAATTTGGTCATCGAGTAGCAATGACAATAAAGAATCTGATATAATTGGTGAAGCCTTGAGAACACACACAGAAAATGTAGATAGAATATGGTAATGACAACGTAAACAAAGTTAGTAAAGGCCAGCATACCAGACTGTCATAGTGGCGGGCAGAGAGGGGAGCACATTGTATACAATCACATGGGACCCAAAGTAGATCACTCCCAGTATCCAATGCAACAAGAAAAGAAACATTTGGCGTCCCTATATCAATCCAGGAGTAATGCAACCTGTACAAAGGAAAATGAATTCAATTCCAGGATAATAATCATCAGCTACATGGAAAGTGGTGGCAAACTCACAACAGAAACACGAAATGAAAATCCAGCTTTGAAATAAAAATATGAGTGGGAAAATCAAAATGACATAATTTTCTACAATCTTTTACCCAAGCTAGCTCAGAAAGTTATAAACAAAACACTACACTCGTTAAAAGATAGCACTTAATCAGGCATTTCTAATATTCAAATGTGTAGACAGGGAAATATTTGGATGACCAATTCTAACATTCAAAGGTGTCAACCCCAAAACACCAGGTAGTTTCAGCTAGACCCAAACTAACACTTAAATTTTCTCAAAATGGAATAAATATCTAATGATACATAATGTGACAGACACTAGTAATATCTTTAGAGCACAGAAATGATAGGTCTAGGGGAAGAACAAAATTGACTTGGGTTGATGTAATAAGAATAATCATGGTAGTGAATGGTTAACCAGAGGATATATTCCTATATATAAATTAAATAGAGAATGATGTCTGATCCCTAACTAGGTTGTGTTAAACTCCATTTTTTGTAGCTGACTCAAAATTTTGATTAGCTGTATTTCCTGATGGTTACAACTTCCTTAAAGCAAGCTAATTCAAGAAAAAATATATATCATTATCCATGGAAATTCCCCCAAGAATGTTGACTGCATTTGTTTTAAATTTGATTTTTTTTTTTTCCTGAAAACCTCTTGTTATTAACCAAACAACTCCTTGTGCGGAAGGAACAGAATATTTTATACTTGAACCAACTTAAAATGAAGCCAGTGATATACTTCATCATTTTGAAATCTCAAAGTGTCTATCCTTTTTAATAAAAAATAAGCAAGACTATTATAGCTAAAATTTGTGCTTTCTGATTTGCAACCCACTGATGTCCCTCATATCTAGCTTATACCATCTTACAATAATAAATAAAGCACTTCCCATTTCCATAATAATATCCCCATTTGGATTTATATTGACTCATTTATATTTTTATATTAGCTTTCAACATCCAAAAAATTAAATTAGAAAGGAATATAAGAAAATATTCCAGCAATACCAATTCCATTACGCAGTACACCCCTGCCTTCCTCTCGCTTGTACACGGAGAGAAATAGAATAAAACAGAGCACCATTAGGAAGATAATCAGCACCGGAACAAATAAAATAAAAATAAAAGGAGTTAACTGACCATCCCCAGTCATTCCCAAACGACATCGTTTTACTTCCTTCGGAGGGGAAGAGGAACTGATGCTGAGAACCGAGCTTCATCTTCTGCCTCTGCATATCACTGCTCACAAGCATTTGGTAGTACTCCAAGCTCCTCCTCTCCGGCCACCGCGAACCAGACACCTCACCATTCCTCGAAACCCTAAGCGCCTTCAGCTCATCGGAGAACCGATGAATTAGCCTCGAAGAATACGTCACCGCCACAACACATTCAATCAGCAGAAATGCCACACACAAAGACACTGAAATCACAGGTTGAGTCGCCATTGCGACTCGAATCCAAACACAAACCAGAAAAACACGAACAACAGAGCAATAAGTTGAGAAATCTAGGCTTTTTCGGGCTACAAAGAAGTAGTAATAACGAGATCTAAAGATTTCAGCTCGAATACTCCGCTCAAAACGAAAGATAAAAGAGATTAAACGAGAGAATGAAGACAATCAATATATATCTAGAGAGTGTGTGTGAAGTAAGTGCAGAAAGAAAGATAGAATGTGGTATAGGAATATATATATATATATATATATATATATTTGTTTGACTGTGTGTGTGTATATATATATATATATAGAGAGAGAGAGAGAGAGATTTTAGCTAACTGGGAATGGAAATTCGGTGGGTGTGGTGATGGTAATGGCCCAATGGGTACAAAGGGAGGTTGAGAAGTGGAAATTGGAAATGTTGTTATCGCAGGTGGAGGAAGAAAGAAGACAAGAGTGAGGGTGTTTGGATAGGAGAATAGGATGCGCACTGTGCGCATTACGCATCATGTGCATCGTAATGCGGAGCTAGCTAAAAATAAGGGAATAAATTGAATTAGTTGATGAAATGCCTTGAATCTTGATTAAGGTGTGCACTAGAGAGAGATGATGATGATTAGGTTTGATGAGGTGGATAATATATTGTGTGGTCCCTTCTCATATCACGTGTCAGAAAAAGAAGGTGCTTGGATTGGCGGAGACGTCGCGTCAGCTACGTCGAACTTTTGTCGCTCCGCTTTTTCGTTTTTTTTATTTCTTTTTTCGGAATGGTGGGACCTCTTCAAGGCCCTTATCATTCACGATTTTCTCCAATTTTTTTATTTGAATGTAAAATATTTTTTAAAAAATATTCTGATATTCAGTTGTCAAATTTTTTTTTTTAATACTAATACAAACAAAATATATTAAAGTTTAATAAAAATAATTTATTCATCAACTTTTGATAAATTATTTTATACATCTTACGTGATACATTCGGCCTCAACTTTAATTTAGATTTTTATCAAATATAGATAAATTTAAAATAAAAAATAATATTTTACTTGAAAAAGTAAAACTTTTTTCTAAAAAAAATTATTACGTCATAATTCACCCCGCTCCCCCGAATTTTTTGAAACTCATCATAATTCACCACAAAAAAAATTGCAGAATAATTTTTAAAATTTATTAGAGAAACTATTGCTATTGACTGGTTGAAGGGATTGAGTTCATTGCAACGCAGCTTTATTCAGACTATATTTGTTTGCTAAGCGCAATGTTTACATTGACTGGTGGTCAATGAAGATTCTATTTTTCTAGGTAATGTACTGCTAATCAATCAATAATTTAATTTCCTTTGTTCTAAGCTCTAACCTAATAAACAAGACAAGAGGGATGGAATTTAAGGAACATGATGTGATATAATGGTGGACCTTCAGTATTATTGAAAGGACAAAAGGGTTTGGGGTCACATGGGATTATGTTGTTGGTAGTTCAAAAGTCCCATTTCGCATAATAAATTGGATTCCCAGTTCGAGGATGTGACCACTGTTCTTTTTCCACACTCAATTCTTTGTTACCCTAACAAACAGAAATACCACGAGGTATAGGTGCCAGATGCTTTGATACTCCAGGCATTTTTCATTGAGGAACACTTCTCATACACGTATTCGATATGTTAGAAGGCGGGATATATATTATGAAGGAACTGTATTTATGTCGTGTGACATTAACACTTTTTAAATATGTGTTTAATATTTTTTATATATATTCACAAGCAAAAATTAAATTTTATTATTTTAGACATTTGGTTAATACTTTTTAACTGCTTACGTCCATATTTTTTGACATGTCTAAAGACGGGTCTACTTGGTAGTAATAAATAATATCAACATATTTTAAAGTGTTTCTTTTAAAAAAAATTGTCCTTATTATAGATGTATGATAAATGATACTTGTGCGTTTAAGGCAAAAAACTATTAAAATAACGATACATATAATATAAAAATTATTATAATATATAACTAGATAATTTCATTTTTTATTTTTTTCGAAGTAATTCTTAGTATAGAAATTAGAAATAGATTAAAATTTTATAATATTATTATTTAATAAATATATATAAATAAAATTTCATATTTATATATAATCGTATTCACGTTGCACTCATATCTTATTTTTAATAATTTTACGTATCAATGTATTCGTATTATATTGTGTCCATGTCCCAAGTTGGTGTCTATAGTACTTATTTTATGTGTGATGTTAATGAATGATACAGAATTATTACAAATAAATATTTTCACACCATCTGCCATGAAGTTGCTTCCAGAGTTTCTATAAGTACGTAGTAATTTAAAAGACGGCACAATAGTTTGTGTGTTCAGTTCATTTAATAGACAATATATATATATATATATATATATATATATATATATATATATATTATTGCAATGTCTATTGACAATAATCGAGACAGGGTGAATGTCATTTGTTACCTCTGAATTGAAGAAAATTATTGAAGCATAGCGTGTGTCAAGTTTTCATTGGAAAATAATTAGCCAAATACTATCATTTTGTCTCTCACCTGACAACCTTTGAGACAAAGTAATGTTTCATTTGCACTAAAATAAAGGAACGGGTGAAAATGACACTAAAAAAAATTGCTTTTTTAGTCCATTGATTCTTATATATAAAGACATTATTAGAAGAAAAGATGATATTTTTAAAATTTTATATATTAAAAATTAAATTTGTAATTAAATAGTGATTTCAAACCCTCTTCAAATTTAACGCACTTATACAAAAAAAATAATAAAAAAATTAAATAATAATAATAATAAAGTGATATAGATATTTGTCTAAAATTTTAATATTAGTAGTGTTTTTCTCACTTTGTTATAATTTAAATAACCCAAAAAAAAAAAAAAGGACAATCATTCTTATTTTAAAGTATTCAAATTAAAATGAACCCATCAGTCAATAATAATATCGGTTCGTAATTTTTATCATTTTTCTTATTATGCTACAATGGTGAAAACGCCAATGATCCAACAACACTGGGAATTCTAAGATGCTTCTAAAGTTTACAATTATTCAATAAGCAAATTTTCCACCTTGGCTGAGAGAGGCCAACTTATAGTTCTGTTTGATAAATAAATAAAAGGAAAAAGGGAAAAACAGTTGGTAATTGTTTTGCTTGGTGTAGAAGGGGATTTAAAGTTGCATAAAGGAACCTTTCAAAAAAGAAAAAGTTGTATAAAGGATTAAGTGTAACTAGGGCTGCAAGTTGGGCTGGCCCAACCCAGCTCAACCCCAATCCAACCTCAACTCAAATCGAGTTGGGTTGGGTCAGCCCAAATTGTACCCAACATGGGTTATGGTCATAATTCGGACCGAATATTTTAGAGCAGGTTGAGTCGGGTTGACGGGTTGATTTTTTTTATATAATTTTTTTTCTAAAATATATATGTATTATATATTATATATATTTAATTATATTATTATTAAAAATGTATATATTTTTAGGGCAAATCATTTCAGCCTCCCCAATGGCTTCCATCTCTATTCTTGTTCTCAACTTTAAAATTGCCCCTCTTTCTCTCTCTCCGTGAAACTGCAAACTACAAAATCAACAAGAATCAGAAGTTCAAAACCCATATATTTCAATTTATCTATCTGTTTACAAGAATCAAAAGTTCAAAACCTATTATCTATATCAAAACCCATATCGGTATATCATTTCAGATTGTTCAAAAAATCAAAACCCATTTTTTTCAGTTTCCATCCCTCGCTGTTTCAGTTCGGGTTCGCCGTTCGTAAGCTTTAACCGTTGTTTCTCAACTCTCAAGCATACCCCCTCTAAACTCTCAAGCTTCGCCGTTCGTTTTAGGATTGCAGAGAAGTGCATATACGGCGACAGAAAGAGAAGAGAGAGGAGAGAGAAAGAAGAAAAATAATAATAATAATAATAAATTTTGGGTTTTAGGTTGGGTTCGGGTTGAACCCTAACCCAACCCGAACATGTCTAGATTTTGACAAAACCAACCCGAACATGAACCTGATTTGTGAATATAAGCCCCAATTTCAAATTTTCTGGGTTGGGCTGCCCAAGTTGCAGCCCATAGTGTAACTAATTATTTTTAATAAGAAAAAGAGGTTTTGACTAATTACAAATAAATTTGAAATTTGCATTTATTTGGAAATGTGTCTCCTTGAGATTTGCCCCACTTTGTAAAGACCTCATTTGTGTTAAAAAATGGGTACTTTTTGTCATAAAACTAGTTTTGAATGACCAAAATGCCCTTCAACCTAGTGAAAAAGACCCAATTACCCTTATTGTGTCATCAAATTGCAAAAATAAATTGTTCAAAGGGTCAAAATTGCCCTTTTTCTCTCCCGCTCTCCTTTTCTCTCTCCACTCACCTACTTCCACCACTAATTGCCGCCTCCATCATCATCACCACCACCACCAAGCACCATCTTCCTCATCTTTTTAATATAATATACATAAGATCGATGGCTCAAATATATATATATATATATATATATATATATATATATCTTTTTCATATATATATAATTTGTTTAATTTATATATTAAACATTTAGCCTCTCCATATCTCTCTTAAAATACTGTTATAGCGGATTCAGCCCTATCAGGACAAGTTTTGTCCTCCACTCTAATTTGGCCTTATAAAAACTTGACACTTATCTAAAAAATAAAAATGGATCAAATTAGTTACCCAGATTAAAATCCATGAAAGAAACCTATTTTCTCTCTCTTTGGGGGGGGGGGGGGGGGGTGGGGCAGTCCTTTCATCTTCGCCGGTCACCGTTCCAAATCCTCCATTCCACCGGCCGAGTTCAGCCCACCTTGCCATAGTCCATCCACAGCCGAGCTTCTCCTTGCCCGCCGGCGCTGCGCTGCAAACCCATATAAGAGCAGCCTCGCGATTTTTTATTTTTTCCCCAACAAATTCTTCTTTCCAACTAAAACTTTTCTATAAGATTTATGGCCATCAAGAACAGAGCTGCTTTTATAAAATGTGCAAAAACTTTTTGAGTGCTGGTTCTATTTACTGTTTTGTAGCTTGAAATTTAAGGGCTTCAAAAAGTTCCTAAATTGATTGATGCATTCTGTTTTAAAAGCTGAGTTTTGCTCCAAATTTTCTTTGCCTATCAAAATCTGGTTTATAAATTACTCTGCAATTAAAGTATATACTCCGTATCTTAGATGCTGGCTATTAGTAGTGTTATTCCAAATTCCCTTTTCTTTGATGTTGGTGGACGGCTCGGCCGTGATGGAGCCGGTCAGCGGTGAGCTTGCTGGTGGAGGGCTCGGCTTCGGATGATGGCGGCCGTAATGTGCGCGGCTGCTTGACAGCAGCGGTGACGGGCTGACTTTGGATGGTGGCGAGGACGGCTCGGCTGAGGACAACTCGGATATGGAGAGCTCGGCCGTAAATAATCTAACCG